TATCCAAACCACCGTCTGTCGTTCGTTTTATTCTACAATACAACATAAATAATTCTCCTTGTTCATTTTCTACCTCGTAAGTGAATTGGATTGTATCCACTCCTGAGGTTATATGTGTGAGAAAACCGTGGATATGTTCCGATTTCAACACAGTAAATATATCATTCACACATGTATATTTTCAGCATATTTTAGGTGGAAAACTAAACGTTTTTGCAAAGCCATGTTTTTCCATAAATCTATCCACTACGATCAGGGATATTTATGATCCTATTGCTACTCTTTCTTTTTATCTGTATATCTTTATTTATTTCTTTATTTTATTTAAGACAGTGCCTATACATTTCTCGTTATAGTAAAGTAGGTGTTATTGTGTTACTACTGCTTAACACTCAACCAGCCTGATATAAATTAATGTGCTCTGGTACCCAACTAATCATTACCTTAACTACATGTAAGTACAGAAAACAGGTTATGTGTTAAAAAGTACTTGCACAAACGATTTATTTATTAGTCGGTGATAAAGAGGTTATATCAAGGGATGAATGTTAACTTGTCTGTTTATTAGTGGCTACGCTAGCTAGGAACTCATGACTATTTGCTGCCGACTAGCAGAAAGGAGACGCAAAAGTGGAGGATGTCAACAGGCGAATACTTATACGCTAAAACAACCTTAAAGAACTAAAGTCACTCGTCCACGTCGTAAAATGTTATTTGGCTAATGTATAGAGTTTTCAAGTGTTTGTTTATTTACTTTAAGCCTAGGATTATTTTGGTACCGAGAAGGTATTCATTTAAAATTTGGTAAATAGGGTTTATGAGTAATGACAAAATGGGACTGCTAAGCAGTCTGTGATGAATACTACTTTGAAATTCGTTTATCCTCACAAAACTTGAAACTAAGTAACTTCATAATACTCACTAGTGACAAGCTTTGAGATACATTTTGTGAAGCTGAGATGAAAATCGATGACGTTTGGTATCAAGCAATATGCAGGTGCAAATAAATACCCACCAATGGAACTGAATGATGGTTTCGCTATATTACCAATTAATAGAAGCAGGAAAATATATGAACCGCTGTGCTAGAATCCAGCGGTTGAATACTTGACGTATCATCCGCAAGTTAAGAATACCCTCCGTTCTATCCTTGTTAGGGTTTTTTGGGTGAGCACAGCTGAGAAATTCCATACTAGTAGGAAATAGCCATCTAGTACTTCGATCTTTTTCAATCATTGGTATTTGTGCCCTAATGCTGTTACAAACATTACAGCAGTAAAAGTGATTATTTACTTGAGTTTTTCAACACGTAAACTTTCACATACTTTTGATTACCTAAACTGATGCGCTGGACAATGATAACGGAAGTGTATCATTGCACATGGAACCCGTCTATGTCTTCAAGATAAAATGGAAAGATATACTGTAAATTTTTTTCTTTGATGACACCCTAAACAAAAATTCTACTTCAACGCATTTGGAATTCATGTGAGGAAGAAGTACAATTAAACAATTTGTTTTCATTTATTCTGTCCTAGCTTTACTTGAACATGTGCATAAAAGTAATGCGAATTATGCAATTACGATAATGATTTGGTGTTCCTAGAGCTGTGAGTTTCATTCGTTCACATTTCAACACCAGATATGGTGACTTCATCAACCCGAAGAATACCAAAGAAACATCATTCTCTTCCTTAGCTACAAATCACTACTATCTCAAATGTGCTGTTGATTACCAAATTGCATAGGTTCTGTTCCCGGTATATACTGTAAACAGTATTCTGAAATAGAACATAATGATCAGCTTATAAAAATACCATCAGTTTGCTGATGAAGTGAATTATAGGGAAGCAACTTTGCATTTATCGTACATCAAAGACTCCAGGTCTGAGAATTTTGATTTAATTTATCTTTCAGTCAGCAACAGATTCAATCACCAGATGAAAATCCTTTTCTACGCATTTTAAAGAAGTAAGAAACTATGCAAGAAATATGTTTCTTTCGTTTTCAAATAACTCTTTGTCATGGTTGGTAAAACTTGAGAAGAATTGTCTGCGCTAATAGGCTTTCCTGCGGGTGAATGTACAGAAGACAGAGGTGATAAAGATACCCAACCAACAACAACAGCAACAATCATGAACGGGAGAAATCTGAAGGAAGTTGTCTCTTTCACCTACCTAGGCAAGACAGAATTATTTCAACTACAGGCGGCACAGGTGAGGACGTCAAAGCCAGGATCAGAAAGAGAACAAGACAGGCCTTGATCAACCTGAAATCAGTGTGGAGATCTACTGCACTTCACTCCACTGAGCATTAGGCGTGAAAAAGATCCGGATTTTCAACACTAATGTCAGTCAAGTCAGTGCTTCTATATGGTTCAGAAACTTGGCGCGTGATGAAAGGCATTTGCAACAAATTACAGACATTCATCAACAGCTGCCGCCTACACTCAGTCGATACTGATACTGAAGATCTGATAGATGGCCAGAATAACAAGAATAAGCAACAAGGAACTCTGGGAACAAACCAACCAAGAAGCTATCGCCCAACAAATATGCAGAAGAAATTAGAGATGAATAGGAAATACACTGAGAATACCGTTTGGGGACATCACGTGTTAGACCAGACGGTGAAGTGGGAGGTAAGGGTAAAAACGATGAGTTGGGCGTCCGAAGTGAGGGTGACATGGAGGAGATGGTGTGAGGAAGAAATGAAAGCTTATGGGCAGTTGTGGAGTCAGGTTGAAAAGACTGTTGAGAAGATAGTGAAGTGGAGATGTGCTACTGAACCCTTATGTTCAACTAGGGACCCAAATGACATAAATAATAATAGTAGACTTTCCTTATCGTCTTGTCAAACGAAAATTTCGATCAAGTGAGATGTGAGCTATCTATGTCGCTGTTTCGATGTGCGTTTATCGATTCACTAGCCAATATGATAAAGTTTATATTTGAGTATACCACTAGGAAGCTTTGCAAACCAATATTTGATGAACCATCCTTGTAGCCACGTAAGGTGTAGGTAAAAAAAGAACAATTTGTTTAAGTTGGCAGGATTGGATAGACGGCAACCGTTGATGAGATAAGCTGAGAAAATCTGTAAGAGATTCACAAAATCTTTTCAGTGGAGTTTGGACTTCTTTTTATGCATAAATGAAATAATTATGGTTAACGCAGCAACCCTAACCGTTACTCAAGAACACTTCGGAAGCTTACTCTGCACTGATCATATAAATGGTGCTTAATAAAATTACTCTTAAAAGCCTTCAACGTCCTTTTAATAAATGGATCTAATCTCCAACGGATCATCTAATTCAGTAGTATATTCTTTTCCTTCGCCTTTGTACTACTCAACAATTTTTATTCCTTTATGCATTTGCCTGTTGCATAATCTACATCCTTACTACGTATCGGCAGCAGAATTCTTATAAAATGGTTACTTCATAACTTTGATCTAATTGACCATGAACCACTATGATTTGTTGGCTTTTTTACATAAACTTAAAGCGATACATATTACAGTGACATTCAGTGGAAAAGAATATTATTATGGTGATAGATCGTGAGAGCTGATCGGCAAGAAGCTCTTCTAAACCTTGATTTCGTGCTTGTTGGCACTCAATCAGTAAGGAGTATCTGTAGCCAGGAATTCAAACCCGCGTTGGTCAGTGTTGAAGTATGTAACCAAACCCCTCACTTATGGGCAATACATTGAAGTCTACAAATCACATTTTGTCACTTGATCACCAGGGGAAGTAATGCAACACTGAAATATTGGATGTCAAAGATCAATTGGCGGAAAGTACTACTTCCCCGAAGGTTGTACTTCTTAGCAAAGAATATCTGCGGCTATGAGTCAAGCCCATACCGATAATAACTGAATACAATATTATTTGCATACATCTATTCTTCTAGCTTGTTCAGTGATAATTTGTGCTTCTGCGAAGAAAACATAACATGCTACAATAATTTATAGCCTAAAGTGACAAATGCAAGTGTATAAAGATTTATTTTTGACTTTTCAGCTGGAATCTATCAAGTCAACATTCAATAAATGTAGAGTCAATATGGTAAACACTATTCAGCGTTTTTCAGTCAATCGATAGAATAACGCTAAGAAAATATGTGATTTGAGACCACAGTGCAATACTTTAGGTGCTACGTGGTGACAGCTAGTCAACTGTACACCTCAAAACGATAACGTGAATCAATGAATAGTAACACGGCAAGTATAAAACTAAATGATATTAATGCGTATCTCAAAGTAAAGAATATACTACTCAACGATATGAATAGTTAAAAAGGAATAAAACTGACCTATAGATTTGACTAGTCAGATCACAGTAGTTCAACTATCATATTGTGAGCTGAATTTCTCTGAATGCACTGCTTGCTGTTGAGTTCATCTTCAACTGAGTGTAATAGCTGTCCAATTGGTTAAATCCCTGTGATATAGTTGATTCATGAAATCTACAAATCAGTGTGTGTGTGCTTTCATTAGTATATTTCTTCATTTCATGACAATTTTGTGTCAGTGATCATACCTCATGACTTTAATTGACTAGTTTCTAGTGGAAATTCTATTGACACTAACCGTAAACTGCACAGCCATGAGAATTGTTAGCATGAACCATCCACTTTGTGCTACAGAAAATGATAACGTGCTTAGTGCAAGAGCAAAATATTGTTGGCTTGACTTCACTTTGTAATTTTAAGGTAGATACACCTGAAAAGTTTGGAGTGATAGTAAACAAACGTTGATTGCCTCCTATTCCCAATTTCTTTTATTTCTAGAAAACTTGAACATTTCCTCAGTAATCACCTCAATGAAGTGTGTAGGCTAGATAACAAATTTTATTGTTTATATTTGACCAGAAGCTAACATTAGGCAGACAAAACCGTATGATTTACATTTAATCTTGATTGATACAATAGTCTCTAATTATTTACGAAAGCACTTTTATGTCATCAGATTGTCTGTAGTTTTGATGTTTTCCTTCTCTATTCACATGCTGTCATGATTCCTTTAATGATCACATCAGAATTATATCCGTCTGAACAGAATGCAGTTAACTGTTGAATAGCTGACGCTGCATCATTTGTCTGAGGAAAGTAAGAAATAAAGAAGATACAATTCACCGGAGAAAACTATCCTTTTCGACAATGTTATTTTGTTAAAGTCACACAGTCTTATTGACGCATATTTCACAACTACGTAAGGTGTGGAACCGCAAAGATTATCACAAGATAACAGACTAGAAATATCTGTTCGGCTTAAACCTTTCTAGAATCTTTGTACGACATATGGTTCTTACATTCATAGAAAATGGAAACAGAAAAGTACGCAACAAATTGGCGAGAAAAAAAATAAATAGAGGATAATAAACTGTTCAGTATTATGCCGATGATAGAGAACAGATATGAATGGACTCTCCCGGATTTCATTAATTTTGAGCCACAATATAGATAGTTCACAGACATTGGTTCTTAACTCATCGAAGAGACAAAGAAAGCAACCAAGTCTTTTCTTACCCGACTCAGAACACCAGTGCCACCTTTTAAGAAGTGATCCTACTTCGTGGAAGTGTCTGACTATGAAGAGATTATCGAGCAAGCATATAATGCTAATCACATCTCTCTAATCTAACTCACAAAGCCGTGTGAGGGCTTATGGAGAGTTCCTATACAAAATGATGACAACTAGTGGTGTCCATCATGGATATCCACTGTCACCGTTTCTATTTAACTTCGTCACAAATGTACTAGTGGATATATTAGCCTATGTACACCTGACTTCACACGGGTTGACCCACTCCCTGCAGGTCATCTAGTTGACTTGGAGTACGCAGACGATATTGTTCTGCTAGGGGAAGACACTGAAAAAATTTAGGCAGGGTCTTCTGACCATGTTGAGCAGAAATCCGAATGTGTTTGGCATATGTTTCGCTGGCACCTATCATATATAGAATGGTGCTCCAGAAGTGACCTGCTCCATGTACTTCCAGTTTAATAATACGGAGTGAAGTGGTGCTTCGACGACTTCACTTTCTTGAGGAGTTGCATCAGCCCGCTGAACGGGTTAGTTGCTGATGCAATGTAATGTCGGATACAGATGGTTCATTTGGCATCTGCCAACTTGCGTCACCTGGGGCATCGACAGCCAAGATATCCGACTGTCTTTCAAAGGATGAGTATACTGCGCTGCATTCCGTTCTGCCCTGTGGTAGGGCTGTGAGATATGGCCCTGAAAAGTAGAAGATATGAAGCGGTTGCAGGATAAGAAACTGGAAATGCCTGTTGTACTTAAATCTTTCTAGGATCTTTGTACGAAGTATGGTTCTTACATTCACAGAAAGTGAAGTTATAGCAAAATACGCAACAAATAAGTGAAAACAAAAATAAATAAAGAATCGTAAACTATTCAATATTATGCAAATGATAGACATCAGTTTTGAGCGACATTTCAGACAGTTTACTGATAATGTTTCTTAACATATTGAAGACCTCAAAAAAGTAACCCAGACCTTCATTATACGATTTTCTAGTACAGCAGTGACACATTTCAAGAATTAGTGCCAGTTAGGAGTCTGGCCAAACAACTTTGTCTGTCTTCCTAGAAAGTAAAATCATCATTCACTTCAACATGAAGTGAGACTTTGATTATTTGACTTATGACTGTAAATTTCCTTTTGTTATCACTATTTATTGACATACTTGTTATTCTCCGTTGTTTTGTTGGATCGAATTGTACGACCTCTATTGGCATATGGGCTCCTGTACGGATGCCTCGATATTGCTTGAATGTTAATTATGATAATTTGGTTGGTTGTGGCTAGCAGAAGAATTTAGACGTTTGAAGCTATGAGTACGAGGTTCGAGTCTCAGTGGGAACAACATCATTGGGGTGCAGGTACATCCAGCTGACGAGTCCCAAATAGGATTCTTCTGCTAGCCACAACCAACCAAATTTCCTTTTGTTGTTGAGCCACTGACTGTCTAGATCTTCTTGGTGGCCCTTTATCTATCTGATCTCTGACCTTACTGGTTGATAGATTAGGTCTATGCCTATGCATCTATTGATTGCTAATTGAACTGAATGTCAAGATTCTAGGACTTTTCTGATATTTCCTGTTTCTTGTCCAATATTTCTACATTTTCGAATCTGAGTTCATGTCTATTGGTTGATATGAACGATGAAATGTTGTGATGTTCAATAGACAACTGATGTTTATTCAAACAAAGGTGTAGACAGTATTCAATTTTTTCAATGTAGTGTTGCTGTAATTGTTACAGTTGACTTCGTTGGTGATATTTGATTTGTCTTCTTTAACTATTGCGTCGTTTGTTCTGTGTAAAGTGAATTTGTTGGTTGATCACTCATATCAATCCCAGACAGCTTCAGTAATCTTATCGAGTTTTTTCTTTCAATAAAATACTATTTAAACCAAATATTTCACAGTGGACTAGTCATGATGTGATCGATTCAACGAGTGTTTTAGCCACGTGGGTCAGTCTAGCTTCAAAACATTATTGACACATTTGCGTTTGACTATTTAGAAGTACGTTCTTCAACGTAGTTAAATGAGATATAAAAGATTGCTGTTTTTCTCTAGTAGTTATCTAGTCGAAGAGAAACCTGAATGTGGTGAGTTCAATCCACATTGGGGTTGTATTGAATCACTACTGAGGAGTCCCATACTAGGACGGAACCGCTGTCCAGTGCTTTCAGGTCCTTCATTAGGTTGGCAGCTGATGTCACTCCATAATGAATAACATCTTCAAATCGGTTATTCTCAATAAGCCTCCCAATTGGAATATCGTAAGTATTTTTCATGCTTAGTTGTAGAAGAATCCCTGTAAATCTATAGACGTGTGGATTTCTGTTGTGTGCAATATTTCGAATAAAACTATTATAACAGATCTCTTTTATGTACGATGTTAGCTGCATTTATTTTCAGTGTCTACTGATAATCAGAGTTGCTGTGTTAACGTCAGACTTCTCACATCTCATCAAGTTCATCTTCGATTTCCATTTTCAACAAAGGTCCAATAATGATATGGTACTTGGACTGATGTTATAAGTTCTACCATGGAAAACTTTAACCTAGATTTATTCAGGATGGTAAGCATAATATTAACGGAAATTAACCTGGTTGTTAGCATTGAAGTTGAGTACGTGCATTTTCATCCTATTTAGGACTCGTCAGTTAAATGGAAGGGAAACCCCGTGATAGGTGGCTTTCCCACGGATACTTCAACCAAGCCCCTACCTCTTCAGATGCTAGAGCGTTATCCAGCAGGCCACTGAAATCGCTCTTCTTCTTCAGTTCAGGTGGTCAAACAAGCTGACTACATCGCTGTGAGACAATATTGCAGTATGATATGCACACTATCCAGTGTCATAAGTATACAAACATTCTGTTCATTAAAAAGTGTGGGGAAATCCTTAGCTTTGTGATAAACACTTAGTTTTTATAACTAAAAAGAAGTTAATATTGTTCGTTCAGAAGTTGATTCATTAAAAATGCAAACCATTCATAGGTTGCTGAGATTAACTTCAGCTAACCATATGGATGTTGAAAGTGAGTTGCTTGCCATCAGTGCATTGCGGTCATTCTATCACTTCCATGATGAATATAATTTGATCTTCTGTCAGCTTAATTATGTATTTCTTTGTTTTACTGATTTCAAGCCATTAATCTGTCGTATGTGCTGATAACCACTGTAATATTGGATTGTATACAGCTGAGGAGTACTCGTGTAATGGAATGATATGGACTCAATCTACGAATCTAGTTCTTCTTGCTTCACTCATATTTATCAAGGGATTCATATGCATGAAATGATGTTAGAAATCAACTGGTTGGAATAACCGCGGTTGGCGAATATCGTAGTCAAAGTCTTCACTGCATATAATGTTAGAAATACGCTTTCCCTTCAGTAAATCTACTCACCAAATCAAACGAAACAACACAGTAAACAATGTACAGGTTTAGCTAAATAATTTTGTATGACCATCTCAGACGATTACATAACAAGGCTTAGATGCAATCATGAGACTGGGTAAATCAATATTCAGTAAGTACAGCTATCTTCTGTCCATGTTGTTATGCACTGGTGTATAAAGAATTCGAATTAAATGCAGTCAGCTGATGTTCCTTTAGGAAGGAAACATTTTCCGTTACCTTCGATAACGTTTGTGACTTTGAGCAGTTGTCACAACTTTGAAAATGCCATCCGAAGTGGAAAGGTCGGAATCTTATCATGGATTGACATAAGTTGGAGGAACATTGGGAACCCGGGAGAACTGGAAATCTGTTTCGCCCCAGTATGGGGCTCCTCAGCAATGCGGACCCATGACCCTGCTGGCCGGTGATCGAACCCAGGACCTTTGGGTTCCGTGGCGAGCACGTTTTGATTGACCCACTGGGTCTGAATTCGATGATCCATATTTCCTACTACTGTCAGTTCACCATATAGCGTGACCTACATCCAGTGTCATCGCTGAGTAACTGTCCTCATGTCCGACTAGGTTGACTTCACCTATCATGGCTTCTCATTGGGACTTCGGGAATAATCACTTCTCAAAGCTAGTCACCAATGAGCGCTACATTAAGTCTATCTGGAGGTTTATCGGGATTTATCAATTGCTTTTACGTTGAAATTTATCATGGACTGGCAGCAGTTGGATTTCAACACAGTAGCCCAATCGAAACATGCTGGCCACGAAACCTGAAGGTCCTGGGTTCGATAACTGACTATCAGGGTCATGGGTGCGCACTGCTGAGGAGCCCATACTAGGACGAAACAGCCAGTTGTCCAGTGCTCTCAGGTCTCCAATGTTCCTCTAACTTATGTCAGTCCATCATGAATCCCAACTTAAAATCAATTAATAAACCTCCACAAACCTCCAGATAGAATTAATCACATTATAGTTTTACACTCAGTATTTTCCAACGACTAAAGAAATTAAAATTTAATTTTCCCAGTTTTTGGTTGGAAGTTTAAATGAATAAGTGAACGACTGTAATAACCTAGACCCAATGTAACTAGATCTTCTTCCAGGCGGGAACTGATTATTACACCAATGTTCCAGTCAAATTTGCACTACCATGTAATTCTCCAGCGATCCTTGTCAGATCATTTAAACAATTAATGGCGTATATCAGATGTTATCTTGAAAAACTATCAGTACAACGTACCTGGTGTACACTGAAACAGTTTATTGAAAAAGCTTGAACAACTTCATGTTGACATGAGAGAATTTTATCCATTTCAGGAATTGTTGTGTTTGGTTCATGCGTTTTGACGAAGTTTGATATAACTTTGGTAGTTCTTCGTATTAGACTTCGCAACTGTTGGCATAAAAATAAATTGGTCGGTGATAAGTAATGCATTAACTGAAAGCAATTTAAAGATTAGATTTATGTGTCAGTTACAGTTATTACTTGTCTTGAAACAAAAATCTATGGTCTCCTCTCATTTGCCTTCCTTACACCTACAATCGCCATCCGCTTCATGAAGAATGTAAATTCCTAATACGCTTGTGAGCTGAATTTACTTCTGACCAGCGTTGGTGTTTCATACTAAAACTTTATATGGAATGCTGAATATTTTCCAGCCATATTGCTTGTAAAGAGTAAAGAAATATTTCAGGTGACTCCTAACGAATATGATCTTATGTATATCAGATGAGTTGTGTACCTGCAGTGGTGTGCATCAAGCATGTTTATTCTATCTATTCTTATATAATTTTGTCACAGATTTACATATGAAGGTCTCTCGGTTCTCATCTGAATTTACAGGGATTGATCTTATCAAAAGAGAAGCTTTCAACAATCTGTAGTATGTAGATAACAAAGTCCAGCTAGTTAGATGTAATGACTAAATCCAGACTCTTCTGGATACATTGAGTATCAGATTGAAAATATTTAAGATGCGTTTCTTACTACCCAAATGTAGACTGCTGTTGCTACTGAACTGATCTTCAGCGGTGCCCTTTCTAATAGATGGGAGTAAAGCGCATGAGTGCGTGAACCATTTCATTTAATTTGAAAGTTGTTACAACCAGCGACATCGTTGCACTGATAAGAAAGGCTCGATTGGCTTTCTCCAAATTGCACTATTTATGGTGCCACTGCGTTATCCGATTGTTGATTCAAAGTAGAGTATACTATGCTGCGGTTCGCCCTCTTCAACTTTATGGCTGTGAAGCTTAGCCAATAAAAGTGGAATACATATGAAGACTTCTTGTGTTTGATCACAGTTGCCTTCTTAGCATAGGCCGTGTATCGTGGTGTCACGATTTCAGTAACATGAAAGTTTAGTGTAGAGTTTTAGGGATAAGAGGAAAGTCAGTTCATGCGGTTGTGCACTTTCATTGACTGAGACAGCTGGAACATGTATTTCGTATGACTTTCTACAACTTTTTATCAGTTTCTTCTGAGTTTTTTTTATCTCTCACCTCAGCACCCTCCCTCTTCATGTGGTTATACGACATGTGGGGACGTTCACTGTCAAGCAGTAATGCCATGCACCACAGTGTTATTGACTAACTTACTGATGTCCTTATACATGTACTCAGGCTGACCCTAACTGCCACCTTGTCTACATTACAACCCTTCAAATACTTAGCGTACCTAACTAATTACCAATTGAGTAACTACAGTATACTGAATTGTTTCTTTTGTCGTATATATTAGCATATGGCTGGTGATCAAAGGTTGACTGAAGAGAAACATCACTTCACTTAGTTTGCATCAGTTGTTTGATGTCTAAATAAAAATTCCAACTTTACTAATATCTGTTTGGAGTGATGAATAATAGAAGTATATTTTCTTCATTCCACTTACATTAATCAATCGCATCAAAAGTTTGTAATTCATAATATTCTGATCATATGATTTCTTATTCATCATTATTTGCAGTGCAGAGAAAATATGAATATCTGAAGCTGATATGTAATCCATAGCCTAAATAACACAAAATAAGCCAGTTAAAATGACATTGTGTACAAAAACGTTTAGTATTATGTGAAAACAAAAAGTAGTCTCAAACTTGACAAGAATTTGTTGAACATAAACTGAATTCAGTCGATATATGGTGTATAAGATGGTGACAGCTGTGAAATGTGTAGTTAGCAAGCGATGTGAAAGAAGTACTGATTTCAATGGTAGAAGACTTATTCGACGCGTTTACGATTTGTTTTAATCATTATAAAACCTATTAACAGTTATCTGCAGCATTTCTAAAAGCGTGAGATTGTTACTCATCGGCTCTTATATATTCAAAGTACTGATTATTATGTGAAGGTCAGATCATTTGGAAAATAAAAGTCAAAATTTAATTCACCATCATTTTACAATATGTTTAAGTGGGGTGAAATAATGTAAATATAACTGACTGCCGAACATGTCTACACGCACAAAATAAACGACAAGATCAACATATGCATTTACAGTTTCACTATCAAACGAGCTTTAAGGACCAATAGTTGTATCATTTTACTTGTGTTTTTACACTATCTATCGATCAACAAGTGAGTAGAAATAAGAATATCTAAAAAGTGAGTTGATACTAGATGATGATTAAAAGTGATCGTGGCAACATTCGAAACAGCAACCACCCGGAATTTGATATGAAACTCTACCAACTGAGCTACGACATCCAAATGCTGAATAGATTTGCATTTCACCTCAATCACCAAGACAGATTTTGCTCGACTATCATATGAAATCATGATGCGTTACTACCGCTTAATCGTATTCACACTGGCTGCCCAATTCAGTCAGAACTTCTCATCTCAATCCAAATGTGACTGAATTAGCAGGGAGAGGAAGCAACATATTGACTATATACATATATCAATACAATTTTTGAAACAGCTTATACTTGGATATGAAGTCAAAATAATGGCAGTTGGAGGCTAATAAGTGCTCTTTTGGAATACAAAGGTTCGATTTAATTCTTCTGATGGTATTTCATCATGCATATCATGTGATTCTATCGCCTGTGAACAGTTGTAAAGAAGGCGATGAAATACGCTAAATTCATAGTATTCTGAAAATACTGTTGTTCTAACTTTGCTAATATCTAGGATTGTTATAGCCTCTTAAGCTACATATTGAGATTTTGTTACAGTTGGTAAGGTTTTATGTCAGATTTGTCCGCAAATTATTGTCAAGATTCAATTTAGATCGTTATATTCAGTGCTGAAGGTTACTGATGGGTATGCCTATTCCTGGGATGAAAAAATATTCTTGAAAGACCATCCTAACAACCACTGAAGTAACCAGTCATATTTCCGATTTTCGGTTTAGAAGGTAGTTTTTTTAAGGAAAGAAACATAATTGGTTACCTCATTAGTTGTTAGGGTGACCTTTGAAAGTCACTTTCAAAACCAGTTTGACTCTAAAATCTACCCGAGCAGCTGCTGAAATCACCAATCAGATTTCTCTTTTTCGACTAGGAGTCATTTTTCACGAAACAGAGGAATTTAATTGGTTATTTTACTCGCTCATTAGGTGGATGCCTCAATATTTCTTGACGCTTCTTTAAGTTATACTTTACTTAGTAGTGGTTAGCAACGGAACCAAAGATGTACATTTCGACCCATCGCCTTTGGTTTGTTTTGAGTTCGACTCTCAGTGGGTATACCATCACTAACTGGCAGACAGGTACTCCAGGTGAGTAGTCCTAGCTAGAATGAAAAGCGCATCCTGGATTTCACTGCTAAGCAAATTACAACAAAATGAACCTTTAGGTAATACCGATGCATTCGCTAATGAGCTCATTACCGATTATGGCCGACTAGTTCGGTTCAATCAACAACCGACAATTACTAAGTAAAACATGAATTTATATGCATATATGTATAAATATTTTATGTCAGTAGTTAGCCAAAAATCTGATGTTTGAGAAAAGTGGTCATGACAACATGATTTAAATTAGTAAAATGTTGTAGAAGAAAACGACAATTTTGAACTACTAAACAGCATATATTGACGACATCGGATGTGATCGAACCCGTGCTCCTCAGACTTCTCCGCGACTACATTACCCTGTAGTGCACCTTCCTGGCACTAAAATGCAACTAGGGATAAAATAAATAGATGAAACTGAAGTAACTAAATAAACTTCTAGGTTGCTTACCTCAACAAGCTCCAATCACCATCAACGTGAGAAACTTAAAGTAAGTAGCCTCTTTCACCCACCTAGGCAGAGCAGCACCGTTTCAACTACACGTGGCACAGATGAGGACGTCAAAGCCAGAATCGGAAAGACAACAAGACAGGCATTCATTAACCTGAAACCAGCGTGGAAATCTTCGCACTCAGCATAAAGAACAAGATCCGGATTCTTAACAATAATTCGGTCAAGTCAGTGCTTCTATATATGGTTCAGAAACTTGGCGCATCACGAAAAGCATTTCCAACAAACTACAGATATTCATCAACAACTGCCACCTACTCTGGCTCGTTACTGAAGCTCAGATGCCCAGAAAGAATGAGTAACAAGGAACTCACTCTGGGTGGTAACGAACCAACCAAGAAGCTATCGCTTAACAAATATGCCGAAGGAAGTTGAGATGGATTGGGCATGCACTGAGAAGACCATTCGGGGACATCATGCGACAGGCCAGGCCCTCGAGTGGAACCCAGATGGGAAACGGCGAGTTGGGCGTCCGAAGATGACATGGAGGAGATCATGTGAGGAAGAAATGACAGGTAGTGGGCAGTGGTGGAGCCAGGTTGGAGAGACTGTAGAGAAGAGGGTGAAATTGCCATATTAGCTAGATAAGTTGGATAGATTTTACCCCTAATAATCACTATCACATTTATTCTAATTAAATATATTACTCCTTTGAATATATTCCTAAATACTAGTCGATTTAATTTGTGTTTTGTTATCAGTACTTACATGTTAAGCAAGGTACCGATTAAGCAGGTACTAGAGGACACCGAGTTAAGTAGGGTTGGTCAAGCATTACATAATAGTAACACACCTAGCACCCTTACAACCTACCAATAGCTCTGCTGAAATTAAGTTTTATATTTCTCAAATGCCATCAAGCCATTCATCATAAGCTCGTCAATGTTACCTTATAAAGTTTCTCTATCTTTTTAAGTTTGGTGTGAAATGACGGAAATTAGTAAGTGTCAATCAAGATGGTTGGTAAATGATATTGTTCCGGTTACAAAACATGAAGATCTTCAAAGTGAACTTCTTAAAGGATTATACAGTCTGACTATTGCATAGCCTAAAACCAAGAGGAAGTAGCTGGTTAATGTATACATATATTGGATAATTCTCTCTCTTTCTCTAACATTAATCTAAGGTGAAAATAATGTATGTATATTCAGTTGATGAAAACTTTCCAATCAACTTACTTGTTGAGATTTTGTTCTATTTCTTAGTTTATTTGACGGATTCTGCCCTTGAAAATTCGATAATTCTAAAGATCCTAAATTCTAGAAACAATATTTCAATAAAGCATTTTATTACAATAGTTTAAAATTTATCGAAGAAAATTGTTTCAAATTGTGAACAAACATTTCATATCAATAAAATTGTGTTAGCAAGTAGTTAGATTGTTGGCATTGCAAAGGCTATTTACATTTCCGTATTTGATGATGATATAATAAATTTATAATAAACATCCAGACCATAGTTGTTACAAATATCCTAGAAGATGTTGAGCGCTGAGTTTGATTGAATCATTGTAAGCCTATATTTTAATGCAATTCCAGAGTGTTTGAAAAATCAAGACAAGATGTTTTGAAACATTTCGTTGTGTAAATCACAACTTCTTCAGCAGAATGTATAGATCTTTATTACCAACAAAATATTTAGTTAAATGATATATCAAATATGTTTAGTGAACGTATGTTATTGGCTGGATGACTTTTCTGTGGTAGACGGTATCATTCAAGACGCTGTGAGGAGCGAGAAGATGGGCATACTCAGGATGAACCGATTAAAAGAGTCCAGAAAATTTGGATTTTGCCACCAATGATGACTTATGTGTAATGTCTTGTCGCACAAACCTTGAAGATGTACAGGCGAAAACTAAAAAGTTGACAGAAGAGGCGAGGTGAGGTAGCGAAGACGGGACTGACTTCAGAGTAACATAGAGAAGACAGAGGTGATGAAGATACCCAACCAACAGCAGCATCAACAACAAGCACCAATCACCATTGACAGGAGAAATCTGAAGGAAGTAGTCTCTTTCACCTACCTAGACAAGGAAGTATCGTTTGAACTACAGGTGGTAGCGGCAGCACAGATGAGGATGTGAAAACCAGGATAGGGAAGACAGCAAGAGGGGCGTCCCTTCAATAATCTGAAATCATTGTGGACATCTACTGCACTGTACTTCACTGCACTTAGCATAAAGTGTGGACAAGATCTCGATCTTCAACACTAATGTCGGTCAAGTCAGTGCTTCTATGTGATGGCTGAGAGACTTGGCGGCGCGTTACGAGGAGCATTTGCAACAAACTAGAGACATACATGAACAGCTGCCGCCTACGCTCGTTACTGAGACTGAAGATCGGATAGATGGCCAGAAAGAATAAGTAGCAAGGAACTCACTCTGGGTGGTAACGAGCCAACCAAGAACCTATCTCCCAACGTGTATACCAAAGAAAGTGGAGATGAATCGGGCATAGACTGATAAGACTGTTTCGGGACAGTCGTGGAACCAGGTTGAAAAGACGGTAGAGAGTAGAGTGAAATGGAGACTTGCTACTGAAGCCCTTTGTTCCACTAGCAACCCAAAGGACAAATAATAGTAATGATCATTACAAGTTTATGCTGGTTGCTGTCATTTGTCAATGAATTTTAAGATAGTCAAGCTGTGTGTGTATGTTTATGTATGTTGTAAGATACATATTGTTTCTAGTACATTTTATCATTCTGACTGTCTGAGATAGCCGTGATTTCACAGACTGATACTGAGTAATGATTAAAGGTGAAATGAAGATTTTAACCGCCGTCGGATTTGAACCAGCGGCTACCATGTTTCCGGCCCGAAGCTCTACCACCTTTAATAATTACCAGTCTGCTAAACCCTAGCTATCTTTAGTAGTTAAGATAATAATCAATATGATGCTTCCCCCCCCCCCCCCTGCTAATTCAGTCACATTTGGATTGAGATGAAAAGTCCTGACTGAACTGGGCAGCCAGTGTGAATACGATCAAGCGGTAGTAAAGCATCATGAATTCATATGGTAGTCGGGCAAAATCTGTCTTAGTGATTGAGGTGAAATGCAAATCTATTCAGCATTTGGATGTCGTAGCTCAGTTGGTAGAGTGTCAGTTCATATGCTGCCACGATCTAAATTTTCATTCCACTTGCAATCATCACTAAGTATCTTGTACTTTCATTTATGAACCGTCAACGATTGTCACTGTTATTGTAGCTTCAATTAAGAAAGGTCATCATTAGTTGTTTTTATCACATTAATGTTTGTTAAATAAGTGACAGGTCTATTCCTTCTTTTCTGTTTATGGCATTTAGTGTTTTTAAAATATTCAGAAACTCGGAAGTTAATCTCTGTTTATGCGAATGGATATCTTTCTCTAATATGTTTACATTCTCTGAGTCAATCATGTGTCCACTTTCAATGGTACGCATAGTTGTTGCTGACTGGTTTTCTAAAATTTTACATTCACCCTTATTCTTCGATGGATGTTTCGTACATAATTTGTGTTCATTCACTCAAACATCTAAGGATCTACATCTTTATCCAGCATAATTAGCTTAACAGTTCAAATACTTAATTTTGTAGATGCAATTGTTTCTTCGTCATCTTAGGGATTATATCTTTCACTTTGAGTAAGATCCTTTCTAGCGAAACGCAACTTCTTATGATCTGTTTAGAAGAACCTTTCTGATATGGTATCATTAAAGATGATGCTCATGATTTTGTTGTGCTTTTATTTCAGTTAAAAGTAGTACTTGGTATTTTATTCGTCTGACCGATAATGTTGTTCAAGAACTTGGTAGAAAATCCATCTTCCATTATTATTATTATTAGTCCCTTGGATTCCTAATGGGGCTTCAGTAGCACGTCTCCAGTGAACTCTCTTCTCTGAAATCTTTTGAACCTGGCTCCACGACAGCCCACAAGCTCTCATTTCCTCCTCGGACGTCCAAGTCATCGCTTCCCATGGGGATTCCACTCAAGGGCCTGACGCGTGATGTCCCCAGTCGGCTTTCTCAGTGTATGCCCAATCCATCTCCACTTTCTTCTCCATATTTTGTCGGGTGATAGGTTCTTGGTTGGTTAGTTCCCAGAGCTCCTTGTTGCTTATTCTTGTTATTCTGGCCATCTGAGCTTCAGTAACGAGCCAGCATAAACAGTTGTTGATGAATGTCTATAGTTTATTGGAAATCCCTTTGGTAACGTGCCAAGTCTCTGAACCATACAGAAGCACTGACTTGACGTTGGCGTTGAAAATCCGCATCTTGTTCCATATGCTGAGTGTACAAGATCTCTACACTGATTTCAGGCTAATGAACGCCTGTCTTGCTTTTCCGATTCTCACTTTGACATCCTCGTCTGTCCCGCCTGTAGTTGAAACAGTGCTTCCTAGATAAATGAAGGAGGTTACTTCCTTTTAGTTTCTCCCGTTGATGGTGATTGGAGTTTTCTGTTGTTGTTGGAGTTGTTGGTGCGGTATCTTCATCACTTCTGTCTTCTCTATATTCACCTGAAGTCCCGTCTTCGCTGCCCTGCCTCTTCTGTCAACTTATTAGTTCTCGCCTGTAGATCTTCAAGTTTGTGTGACATCAGACACAAGTCATCGGCGAAATCCAGATCTTCTAGGTCCTTCTCCCCAGTCCAGCCAGCGTATTCCCCTCTTCTCGCTCCCCACTGTTTCTTGCATGATCCAGTCGACCACAATCAGGGAGATCATCGGTGATAGTAGATAGCCTTGTCTTACTCCCGTCTTCACTTCAAAAGCATCACTGAGCTTCCCATTGTGAATTGCTTGGCATGTGGCGTCTTCATATAGTTGTTGAATGAGGCTGATAAAGGTTTGTGGTATTCCGTAGTATTGAAGCAGTTTCCAAATTACCCCTCGGTTGACGCTACCAAAGGCCTTCTCAAAGTCGATGAATTTGAGGTAGAGTTGAGTTGACTGCCATTCTATGCTCTGTCCTATGATGATGCGTGATGTAGCGTTGCAATTTGGTCTGTACATGATTTGTACTTCCTGAAGCCTGCCTGTTCTGGTCGTAGTTTTGAATCCAGTGCATCCTCAAGACTCTCCAAGATGATGCGGCTTAATATTTTGCTTGCTCTGGGTGGACAGGAGAGTGATTCCGCGCCAGTTCTTGTAGACACTGAGGTCTCCCTTCTTCGGGAGTTTGACAAGGTAGCCCTTCTTCCAATCAATGGACAGGTACCTTCTCTTCCTTCCACACATTCTGCAATAGTGGTGTGATGTGAGCATGTCAGCTGTTGTCTCTGTGTCTGTTTTGAGTGCTTGTGGTGGGATTCCATCTGGTCCTGCTGCTTTCCCACATTTCAGTAGCTTTATGGCACTCAGGACTTCTACTTTTGTTGGAGGATTTATGTTGACTTGTAGTTCTGTGGCTGGGCGGCAGGTGGTATTTCTGGATGAGTTTCAGGTGGTGGTGGTCGATTCAAGAGCTTCTTGAAGTGCTCGGCCCATCGTTTCTTTTGTTTCTCTTCTTTGGTAATTAAATTTCCTTCATCATCTTTTATTGGTTTCGTCTGCGTTTATCTCTTCCCAGATAGCAACCTGGTTATTTGATATAATGTCGTCAGGTCTCTCTTACCTGCAGCCTGTTCTACTTCACTTGCCGGTATGTTGTAGAAGTGTCTTTCGTCTTTGCGTGCACTCTTCTTCACTTCTTTGTCCAGTGTATTGTTTTATACATTGTGCTCAGTTCCTCTTGTCGTTGGGCATCCTTGCACTGGTTTATCTTCTGCTTCACCATCCTCCTCTCCCTCTTCTATCAGCTTCCATGTATCCATTGAGATCCATTCCTTATCTTCTTTCTTCCTAATACGGTTGTGCAGGTTTCTTTCCACATAGCTTTCAAAGAGTTCCAGTGTTCATCCACACAGGTTTCTTCAGGGGAGCTGCTCGATATCTCCCATTTGTCTTGATGGCTGCCATGAAGATTTCCTTTGTAGTTTTTTCCTTCAGTTTCCGAGTGTTGTACTTGAATTGAGGTCTATCACCAGCTTCCTTGAAGGTTTTTAACTTGATTTGGAAGGTTCCTTGCTATTATAGCTTTTCTAGATGTCAACATCTGCATTTAACTTCAGTATGAAGTGAGATAACAAGATTTCTGAATAACTCATTCAGAAGCTAATGCTGATGAACTGGTTTATGATTGATTGTCTCCTTTGATTATTGCTTCTTTGAATGCATATATTTTCCTATTGGCACTTTCTCTGTCTGAACACTGACCTTATAGTTTATCATTTCTCTTATTGGTTAATAGATTCTGTCTACGTATATACATTTGCTGGTTGCTTTTTGCTTTGAATGACTAGCTTACAGGGATCTTCTTATGTTCTTTGTGTTCCCTGGGTCGAAGACAACCACATTTTCAAAACTGAATTTATGTCCATAGTTTCCTAAATGCATTGATTGATATGACCAACCAAATGTCGTGACGTTTAACAGGGAACTGTTGTTGGTGAAAACGGAAATGTAGAAGATGACCACACTATTCAATGTCGTGCTGATTACAGGTGTTGCAAATGGTTTTGTAAATCATATTTGATTTATCTTCTTTGACTGTTGTATACTGTGGTCTGCGTAATATGACTTGCTGGGAACTTGTTGGCTTATGAGCCACACCAATTCCAAGTAGTCTGAATAGTGTTGTTGTGATCACATGTTATGTTCTTCATGTATGGTAGGATAATTCGTTTGTTGATTTCCAGTATTAATCATGTGGTCGATGATAAACTGTATAGGCATCTTCTGAGGAAGTTGTGTGGGTATTCATTCTTCTGTTGGCTACACATCAAGTAACTTTCCTAGTTTCTTAATGAGGCTCTTTTGCCCCAATGTGTTCCTAATGTTTTGAATTACCTCTGTACAACTGAACATCAATTCAAGTAAAAATGAAACGAATAACACTAACTTATCGACAAAGAATAGAATTTTAAACAGTACTGTTGTTTTGAGTACTCTTATCTAGTAGGTTTAATCGTGGAGCTTTCATCGTCTTTCTAGATGACATCATCAGCGTTAACTTCAGATTACCATTATAGAAACTAAAAGTAATCAATATTAGATTTGTCAATTTGATTTGATACAGAATTATTTACTTGATAACATCTCCAACATATATTATTATTGCTCATAATCATATCAATGTGCAATCACACTACTTTTGATATGTGATTTTTACAGTCCTGTCACCTCATATTACTTGTTTTCAGTAGTAGTGAAATTTTCCATATCTCTGGTATGGACGTTACATCATTCCTATTACATATGCTGGGTATAGATTGGATGATCAAAGATTTAGCAATCAGTCACTCTCTGTCTCTCTACACCTAACTGTATTTAACTACAGTACAGTGGTTTCGTCACACCCCATTCTGTGCGTGTGTCTTAACGCATACACTGCAAACAGCCAAATTATTTTTCTAGATTACTCATACTATTCGAGTCTGCCATTCTATATTTAGTGAAACTCCCATGTTCGGCTATTCTAACACACCCCAACTGGCTAGTTTCACCTATGCACTTGAACTCAAAGTCATTACTTGGAATTTGACAGATTAGATTTTTTCGCTTAATTGGATCTATCGGGTCCTTAAGCCAGACAAAAACGATTATTTCTGCGAGAAAAATTATATCGTCAAACCGAAGAGTTAGAAATGTGATCACTAATATCCCCAATATAAGAAGATATATTTATGGATAGTTGGGAAAACATGACTTCACGAAAGTATAGTCCGACACCCAAGATATCATGGTGATATGTGGATTATACATTCACGGTGTTCACACTGAAACATATCGACATGTAAACTCACTATTAGGCACATTCCAATTCACTTACGAGGTAGCAAATAAACAAGGAGAATTACCTATATTGCATTGTAGGATGAAACCAAAAAACACGCTCGTTTGCATACTACTGTCTATAGGAAACTGACACATTCTAACAGGTAGATATCTGGACTTCAAATCATCTCATCGAATGTCAATTAAGGCGACTCTAGTCAAATAAGCGTAAAGCTCACCAGTCATTGTGGCGAATTAAACAAGAAACTGAAACACATCAAAGAAGCATTATTGACCAATAATTATCTTTTGCCGTTTATCATGAAATTCGTACAAGCACATAAGAAATGAAATAATAACACTAAGACGAGTACGAATAAAAACAACAACACGAGTAGAAAGGAGTCAGTTGACAACCTCCATTGTGTTACCCTTTAAAGAAGGTACATCGGAAAATTTACGTAGGATCCTAAACAAAACTGGAATTACGGTGGCATTCAAGCCTACAAGCTCACTTTGAGATAAGATTTGTCCACTGGCTTAAGCATCCGATAGATCCAATTCAGCGAAATAGTCTAATCTATCAAATTCCAAGTAATGACTGTGAGTTCAAGTGCATAGGTGAAACTAGCTAGTTGGGATGTATTAGAATAGCCGGGCATAGGAATTTAACTAAATGTATGATGATAGACTAGAATAGTATGAGTAATCTTGAAAAATAATTCGCCTATTGCATTGCATGTATTAACACACAATCACACGATGGAGTGGGTGTGATAAAACCACTGTACTTTGATCCAACTTAATTATGTGTAGAGAGACAGAGAGTGACTGATTACTGAATCTTCATCGAATCAACCAACACTCAATACATGTAATAGGAACAATGACGCAACACTTATACCACAGATACGGAAAACTTTACTATCAATGAAAACAAGTAATATCAGATGACAGGACTATTAGAATCAGATTTCGAAAGTGATATGATTGTGAACAGTAGTTTATGCTGGAAACGTCATTAAGTAAATAATACTGTATCACAGTGTATTAAATAAACAAATCTAATATGGAATTAAATTCTACCACAATGTCCAAGTTTCAAGCCTATATAAACAATAAGTATGGCATAGAATCCGTAAATTTAAAATTCCTAACATATATTCCTTACCAAATAACCATATTGTTCAGGATGACTCTTCTGAACTGAATCCTTCACAGTACGAAATTGTTCAGCGACTGTCCGACTTGTTATATCATGCTAGAAAAAGAAAGAATTTTGAAAATGTCTTAAGCCGCGGGGGGGGGGAGGGGGCAGGTTATCAGAAAAATAAAATATAAACCTTTTTGGAGAGTATATTTATACCTAAATCTCATCTTATTGATGACCCACTATGTGATAACATAAACTAAGTGAATAGGATTGAAATAACTTTACATCTGTTACTTTTGAGTTGTTCAACTTTGAAATGATCAATCTCAAATGTTAAATATCATACTGTAGTCAGCGTTGCTGATAAGAATCGATATAAATCGTAAATGTTGAGTGGGTGGCAGAAACCATAAGGAATTATCAGTATTGGCTAAAGATTCTGCCAAAAGAAACGCAAAAAACAACGTGAGTGTATAAAGCGCAAATCAAGAGAGAAGCAGAAGAGGAAATAAAGCACGTTTTGCAAACGACTGCCTTAGTGCAAGGTGTATCAAATTTAACGACTACTGTTAATAATAAACATTCCTTCTTTCGTCTCTGTCTTCTCGTTTTCTCCAATACAAACAGAGGAAATTATTATTATTCTCAACTGTTTACTCCTTATTGTGAGGAACTCATTGCTTTCTAATCATTAATCAACAAATATATCCCTCATATATTTTTTCTTCTACTATAGATGAAGATATATTTGTTAAGCGCTTAACAAACTGAAGTCCATGGATATTTATCAGATACCTTAATGTCGATTGATGAAGTGAGTGAATAAAGTGTTCATCAATATTTGTCATCATAAAGACTAATAGCTTTGAATTCAAACTGGTGGATAGATGCTTCCTTCATATTCTGATATTTGTTAAAAGTCACATGCGTTCGTTGTAAAATATATCATTCAGCATATTAAAATCTCAATTTTCAGCACTTCTCTTAATCATACTGTTATGATGGAATTTAGAAAGGAAGATGCTCACGTTTAATGGAATTATCGTGTAACCAATCTTGAGGTCAAGTGAAGGGTACTAGGCAAGTCAACTGATGAGGTTGGGAACTTCAGTCGATTAAGATGTCTTGAACATGTACTGCGCGTGCCAAGCCCCCGCCTACCTCAACCTGCTATGTTGGGAGAAATCGGATTAGGTTGATAGAGGGTTCAGGGGGACCAGAGCCGTAACACCAGTCGATGAAGTCACTGACCATTAGTGTGGAGAGATGTAGACTACCTAGTTGGTGTATTGAAGATGAAAGGAATCAGTGGCTGAAGACACTTGGTGACCAGGCTGAAAATCAGTCAAAATGGTGGAGTCGTTTTCACTCCTTAACATCTAAAACTTCAATATTCACATTAACCATTCTTTTCAGATTGTTTATTCTCTCACACTACTTTATTTGCTTTGATGTCACTCTTTTTCTATCCACCTGTTCTTTGTGTCCTTCTATGAAGCGTGGCAACTTCAGTCGATGCAGTTACGTGCGAGATTCTACTTTAATTTTATCAGTCATTATGCTTATGACATTAGATATATCTGCTATACTATTCAGTCAAATTGTGGTTCTCATTCTTCTAGATAAATTACTTTGATGTCATGTAAAAGCATTCCTTTTTAACCATTTTTTACAATCAGTCTAAAGCACATTGATTATTGTTTCCATCTGTTTCATGCCCAAGTAGTTGTCATTTTAGACCATCAGGTGTTGTGGTAGTGTTCAGCGAGTACTTACTACGAATTAAAGCACTCTACTGGAACCCACTCATTTGTTTCAGATCATATTAAGGGTCGTCGTCTGAAGTGACGAAAACCAGAACAGTCTGCCAGAGATGCATGCTATAATCACTTCTGATTAACTTCGTTAAGTGAACATATCCCTAGCTACCTGTGACTTTTCAGGAATCGACCTACTCATTGAAGGACACCTCGTTGACTTTGAATTCACAGATGGTATGCCGACACAATGTAGGGTCTTCTGAATGTCTTGAGCACAAATCTAATTAGGATTGGCATACATTTCATCTCTTTCAAATGCAAGATGGTGCTTCGCGAATGGTCTGTAGTTACTTCTAGTTTGACGATAGGCAGTGATATGGTAGAGTCTGTTGACCAATTCACTTACTTGGGGAGTTAAATCCGCACTAATAGGCTGTTTACCGACGAACTCTGATCTCAGATATGGAGGGTGCCTTTGACATTCGCTAAATATTGTCATCTCTGAAACCATCAAGATATTCGACTATCTATAAAACGACGAGGATAGTGCGACCCAGTCGACTGTGTTATGCGACAAGAATGCCAAACATGGTCATTTAAACAAGAACATATCAGGAGACTTCTGTTACTTGAGTACGAATGCCTTCGTTAGATCGTTCGTGTGTGGTGGGATTACCGTGTAAAAAAATATCGAAGAAGAGCATCTGACGGGTAGTCAAGTCAATCGTTGAGGTTTTGAATCTGCACCGACTGATTCAGGATGGATGTGAGCTCCACATGCCAACAAGACATCACCAAACTCGAAGCGCAATGCTAACTGAAGTAAGATTGGATTGGAAGAAAGCTCATTGTAGTCGGAACAATATATCGCACCAATAAATGAAGTATGTGACTGTTCATGTGAGCATTGTAGTTGGGTATAGAACTCCAGGGAGGAGTCCGTGGTATGATATGAACCAGCGGTTGGAAACCCTTGATGACATAGCACTTGGAAATAAATTGTATCCAAAACTAACACAAGATCATTCAAATTCTCTTATCATCCTACCTCTTAATTAGTAAAAGTTCAATATCATAAATGACAAGAGTACCGCTTCAGATAATCAGTGAGAAAGGGTAGACACAGTTAGTGAATTTTTATTGACAGTTATACCTAGACCGATTTCAGTGATCAGTCTGTTATTCTACCTTGCTGTATTGGTGTTTTGAACTGTTACTTTATTCAATCCTGTTTTATGATTACATATAAGTGCATGCTCAGCAGCGACTGAGATCCTTTCAGTTCAATTGTCTCGGTCTCACAGCTGTCAGACAGTATTCGGCGCGTTATTTATGCCTCAGTGCGTTAACAGAATCCTTAGGTCAACAAGATTTCTCTTTAGAGTGAGTCTATAGGCTTAAACACCATTCAAATATGATTCTTTCTTCCTCATATCATAATACTAGAGAGATATCGAATCGTTTACTGATGGTATTGAAGTTGTATACTAACCCACTGGAATAGTTGTTTCAACCTTCATGTCCAAATAAGTTCATAATGAAGAAATAAGTCTAGCAGACACGTTTAATTGTTACTGTTAACATCTAAACGCTTTGGTGTTTGAAGCGGTGTGCATTGAATCTCAGTGGGAATACAGTCACTCACACTCACTGGGGTGCAGGTACATCCAACTGGAGAATCTTAACTAAGATGAAATGCGTGTCCTAGATTTCACTGCTGGTTACTAAGGAAATTGCAAAATAGTGAATACTCTGGCAGTTGGGTCATTTCAATCCAGTAAAACAATGGAGGATTAAAAGTACAAGTAACCAACAAAATCATTTCATTTTTGTGCAATTCAGTAACTTACAGTCTCTGAATCTTCTATCCAGCAGTATGAAAATGCATCAGCTAAACAAGTATTCAATTCCGGATCATGACAAAATGCTCCCCAACTTAGTTCATTATGATTTGCTGATGTCACTGCCATTACTATTTCCAGAAAATAAGTAGTGATCAATTAGTTACAATGAAAGTGGATCAGTCAATTTATAAGTTTCCAATCCCCTAGATTGCACTGCAGTTTGGTGATAAACAATATTACCAACTAGGATGGAATCGATGAAGAATTTCAGTCTCATGAGAAATCATAATTTTGCTTCATTTACCAGTCGTTCATCTTTCTGCGAGTTATTACTCTTAGTCGATAAATGTAGTTTAATAGCACTAATTTATTTTCATGTAAAGGTAAGTGTATTTTGCTTAGCTGGAACTATTGATCTAGTTCGTTTGCTTAGACTACCTACAAATAGTGTCAACACGGTTTCCAAAGAAGCTGGAAACCAATGATCAGTAATTGCGTATTTTGATAGCAATATCACTGACAACTGTTACATTGGATTACAGCTGAGCTCATGATACTTTTGTATCCGATATCCTAGCTGAGTAAGTTTTATCCACTCAAGGAAATGAAACTTCTCGGCAGTCAGGACTATAAACATTAACCATATAGTTTATAAATTATTTTTGTCAATAGAGTCTTTTTAACGTTCTTGTGATTCGGCCATAAATCTTAAGTCAAGTTACAGAAGTTCTTTCAGTCGTATTCGTTCGACAAATAACAGTGTTAGAAAAACAGTAAACAGGCTGTAAAATGTCATTTTAGTATACTGTTCTGCTAAAACAAAACTGAACTGCACAACTATCCTCTATTAATTAAGTGTGTCGGTCCAACCATCAGGAAAAGGAAAATATTCATGTATAAATGGTGAGTGATAAGTAGTAATAATAATAAAGAACCCAAACGATATTTATGATACAGTATGGAATTCCCAGCATGTAATATTGGAACATAATCATTCCTAGAACAATATCTTCAGACGAAATGGGCATACCATTTGATTGATGTCACTAATAACAGTATTCAAGGCAATAATGTTGGGGATTAGCATTCGGCCCATAATTAAGAATCAGTAGAAAAGCGAGCGTAAGTTTGATCGTGGCGGTTCATTTGGTCAGTACAAGAATCGTCAACTCAAGCTAAGTATTCGATGGATAGAAATATGTTTACAAATTCCCATTGTTAAAATTAGAAGACATATAAGTGCGAACAATATTGTTCTCAATTAGCTCTCATCAAGTTTTACGCTAATAGACATAACTTTTCTCATATATATATAAAACAATCATAGTGAATTGCTGTCTGTGGTAACTAGGACATAAAGCATGCAAATAGTAGATGTCTAAACAATAATTATTATTATTATCTTAATAATGATAAGAATAATGGGAACAGCATGGTATTCCAAACATACAGACAAACAGTATCGATCATAACTTAGAATGATAAAAGTCACGTAATACTGAAGGATGAAGTGCGTATATAATCAAAGTTTAAACAAATAAATATGTTTAGATTGGTTGATGGTGGAAGGTGAAATAAAAATCTGGACCGTGGCTGGATTCGAACCAGTGACCACCGGGTTTCCGAACCGATGCTCTACTAACTGAGATACGAGGTTTGACTGCTTAACAGATTTGCATTCCACCTCAATCACCAAGGTGGGTTTCGCCTGACTATCGTGTGAATTCGTGACATCGACTACCTAGTCCAGTCAGGACTACTCATCCTATTCCAAACCTAACTGAATTAGAGATGGGGAGCATTATATTGATAATCATTTGACATTCAGTCATCAAATTATGCAAATATTTTATTCCTTATAAAGTTTGATGAAATCATTAAAACATCATCAAAACAATTTTTTTACTGTTACTATTTGTCCCTTGGGTTCCTAGTGGAACATTGAGCTTCAGCAGTAGGTCACGATTTAACTCTCCTCTCTGCTGTCTCTTCAACCTGGTTCCACCACTGCCCACAACCTTTCATTTCTTCCTCACATCATCTCCTCCATGTCATCCCCGGTTACCCAACTCATCGTTTCCCACTTGGCTTCCACTCAAGGGCATGGCCTCGCCTGACGCGTGATGTCTCCAGACGGTCTTCTCAGTGTATGTCGAATCCAGTTCAATCCATCTCCACTTCCTTCTGCATAAACGTTGGGTGATGGATTCTTGGTTGGTTCATTACCAGCCAGAAAGGGTGAGTTCCTTGTTATTTATCCTTTCTGGCCCTTTGATCTTCAGTGTCAGTATCGAGTGAGCGTAGGCGGCAGCTGTTGATGTATGTGTGTAGTTTGTTTGGAATGCTTTTCGTAACGCTTTGCCAAGTCTCTCAACCATCACATAGAAGTACTGACTTGACTGACAGTGTTGAAAATGCGGATGTTGTTCAAGCTTCATGCTGAGTGCAGTGCAGTAGATCTCCACACTGATTTCAGATTATTGAAGGAAGACCTGTCTTGCTGTCTTTCCGATCCTGCCTTTCACATCCTCATCTGTGCCGCCGCCTGTTGCTATAACGATGGTATCTTGCCTAGGTAGATGAATGAGACAACTTGCTCCAGAATTCTTCTACTGATGGTGTTTGGTGCTTGTTGTTGCTACTGGTTGGGTATCTTCATCACTTGTGTCTTCTCTAAGTTCACCTGAAGTCAGTCCTGTCTACACTGCCTCTTCTGCCAACTTGTTAGTTTTGATAATTCAAAGGAATCGATATCAATAAATAAAAGTTATCATTTTGACTATCTGAGTTTGGCAGACTAGTATTGATACTGTGTGGTGACTGAAGATGAAATGAAAACGTTGATTGCGGCCGGATTCGAACCAGGAACCACATCATCATCATCATCAAGTAAATTATACGGTAACTACTCAGTTTCTTATCAGTTGTCTGCCGTTTGACTCCAACTCACTCTTACGTATTTCTGTAGTCAATACTTTGCATTTTACCCACATAATCTTCTTTCATATATTATTTTCATGCCTACAAACTACTTAAAGTTACTTATTTGCAGATGTGCATGGTGATTACATTCAAATGCAGTTGTACATCCTCTGAGAATGCCATCGACGAAAATCTTTTTTCTCCTGAAGTTTTCATACTGTTATGACTCAATGAGATCGTTCAGATTACAAATGTTGGTTGAACTTAAGGATTTTTTCAATACATAAATCCTTTTTAATTTCTCTACCTCAACTTTATCGACTTTGAAAAGGCCTTCGACAGCGTTGACCGAGAAGTAATTTGGCAGTTGCTTCAACGATACGGAGTGCTACAGGTCTTTATCAACCTCATTCAACAGTATATCAAGACGCCGCATGCCTAGTAATCCATTGTGGCAAGCTCAGTGACGCCTCTGAAGTGAAGACAGGAGTAAGACAAAGGTGCCGCCTACTATCACCCATGATCTTCTTGATTGTGGTCTACTATATCATACAACAAACCATGAAGAGCGAGAAGATGGACATACTCAGGATGAACCGATTAAAAGAGTATAGAAAATTTGGATTTCTCCACCAATGATGATTTATGTCTAATGTCTTGTCGCACAAACCTTGAAGATTTACAGGCGAAAACTAAAAAATTGACAGAGGCATCGCAGACGGGACTGACTTCAGGGTAACATAGAGAAGACAGAGGTGTTGGAGATACCCAACCAACAACAGCATCAACAACAAGCACCAATCACCATTGACAGGAGAAATCTGAAGGAAGTAGTCTCTTTCACCTACCTAGACAAGGCAGTATCGTTTGAACTACAGGTGGTAGCGGCAGCAGAGATGAGGATGTGAAAACCAGGATAGGGAAGACAGCAAGATGGGCGTCCCTTCAATAATCTGAAATCAGATCTACTGCACTCACTATAAAGCGTTAAGAAGATGAGTATTTTCGAAAGCAATGCCAGTCAGGCCAGAGATTCTATGTGATGGTTCAGAAACTTGGTGCGTCACGTAAAGCACTTCCAACAAACTGCAGACATTCATCAACAGCTGCCTACGCTCGATACTGAAGATCAGATGGCCAGAAATAATATGCAACAAGGAACTCTGGCAATGAACCAACCAAGAACCTGTCACCCAGCAAATATGCAGAAGAAAGTGGAGGTGGATTGGTCATACACTAAGAAGGCCAACTGGGGACATCATGCGACAGGTTCGACCTTCGAGTAAAACCCGCATTGGAAACGACGAGTCGGACGTCCCAGCTGAGGGTGACATGCAGATCATGTGAGGAAGAAATGAAAGCTTGTAGGTAGTCGTGGCACCAGGTTTTGAAGACTGCAGATAAGAAAGTGGAATGGAGGTTTGTTACTGAAGCCCTTTGTTCCACTAGAAGCCCAAGGGAAAAATAATGATAATAAAAATAATAATTTTAGCTTTATCCACATTTCCAAATGCCTGAATTCAACAAGGTTTGATGCAGTTCTGTTGAGTGATGTTCGATTTATACATGAGACAATTAGTGGGCTTGTTTTCTAGAATAGTACTCTGCGACTTTCTGCATTTATAAGGAAGCGGAATATTCAAAAACGCTCATGTCATACGACTACTGAAGATGAGTTATTCAATAAGTTTATAGAATCATTACAATCTACAAGAATGATTTCATAGAATTTCATGCTGCTAACCAGGTCCTAATTTCACTTCAGTCACTAGGCGTCTCACCTGACTACCATATGAGTTCATGATACGTTGATATCTCATTAATTGTATTCACACTGACTAATCAGGCAATATTTCTCATCCCTATCAAAATCAACCTCAATTAAAGAAAAGTAGCATAATATTCATTATCAGATTGACTATCTTTTTGAAGGTGATTGAGGATAAAAGGAAAATCTGAATCACCACAGAAATTATTTCATTGTTTTCAAGGATATATATAATGCAATAAGTGTAATCATAACACTTTCTTCTGGACATTTCATACAGTTATAAGACAAACCTTTTATAGATGGTGATAATATTCCATAGAACATTGATCCCGAAAAACACGCCCCCATATATAACAAAAGTTTATTGTATCGTCCATTATTATACATTTTGGTTAGTGTTTCATTCAATTGTATATCCGTCAACTGAATAAAAAAACAGAAAATAAACAATAAATAAAATCATTTTCGAGGAATTTTTTTTCATCAAGTCATTCCTCGTAAATAGATACACTTTGACAGTTATGATATCTAGAACTCGTTAGAAGGGTATACTTGCTTTGGATAATGAGATGCGAACCCGGTCAATTATACCATGTAAACTCAGGTCGTTATGCATTAGATTATTCAGTTAGAGAACTTAGTTGTTAATTTGAAAATATATGGAGAAGATGGTTGGATTATGTGAAATAATAATTACTGTCAAGAAGGAAGTTTCCGAAAGATGAACACCTTCTGTTTCCAGATTTTCAGATTTTATGTTTAAGAGAACAAAAGGAAGATTTAATTTCCACACTGATTTTGTAAGCAGCCGGAAGAATCAAATCGCAAATGTGTTTAAAGTATAGACAAACTTGTGGCGAATATCGATGGCTTAGAGTGTCGATGTTTTCAGAATGAGTTCTCTGAGGTTGGCAAACGTTTTGATGTCATGCTAAGTGTCGTAATTGATTAATTAGAGTACCATAATGAAGCTTTGATGCACCGATGACAATGTCTAGTATGGTATTGAAACGTTTGACAATCCCAAGTCACTCTGAACTGACGAACTTCTTTTGAAAGAGATTTGAAAAGATAATGTGATATTATTCCGATTATTTCCACTGTGAATAGTACCTGGTATATCAAAACATAACCGAGTTTTCTGAGACATTCGATGACCAATTTACTGATACAGTATTCTGAAGTTGTATCAGATTTTGCTTTCATTCTGGATAGTTTAGTTTTTACTCTGGATAACTGAGTTTTGTTATTTTTCACAAATGAATATTAAGTGATAATGATGAGGCTTCATGCGTAAATTGAATGTTGTTAGATGATGGCTAGCAGTTAGTGGGAAACTCTGCTTCAACTACGTTTCGTAATTGGTGGCATTCTTCAGTAAATTGTATCACCAACCTTAACGGGACAGATAATTTCTCTAGCATTCAAACCTGAGTCAGCTTATGTCGCAATCTGCTAGATTACCACTGAGCTATCGAAGTGGCAACTGACTTCCGGCTGGAATGAGTACACTGACTGGTCGCTGAGCAGCAACTAACTTCATGTTGTATAGTCCTGAGTTCTGGTCGACTTCTATTGACCATTTTGTAATGCATCCACTACTCTAAGACGCTCATAATTACTGTGTACTTTGTCGAGTGCTAGTTGGTTAGAGGCACTTGGAAAAACGCTCTCCTCTACATAGGTTTCACGCTTGTTCCCATTCATCAACAAGGCAATTTAGTAAATTATGATAGATGGGGATTAGTTTTTCCTGAATGATTATTGAAAACCTTTTAACATGATCACTACGGTCGGAATTATATAATATCAAGGTTTTCATCTTAGCAACTCTTAATGGTTATAAGTTCAATACGTGTAGACAGCTAAAAAGCTAGCTGTCAATCTAATTTTAAGCAATTTGGAGAGTTGAAATCCTGCTCCCTGTAGTATACTGATGTTCTTCGCAGTGGGAAAAATTTTTAGTTTATCTCTTCAGCGTTGTTACTGGATCTTTTACCATCCACAGTGACAGCATTTATCTACTGATATCCAATCACAGAGGTCGCCATTACAGCTTTATGGTATATCACTAGAGAGGTTAAGAAATAACTAAGTTACTGAGCTATAGGTAAAATGTCGTCTCATTTACTACTGAACAACTTGAGTAGTCAGAAACTAGCCAGGCTGGTTTGGATATTTTGCCAGCCATATAAGAGTGACCTAAATACTGAACGGTTCACGAGTATGAGGTCGAAGCAGTTCATCAGAAGTGTACCTGAACAAATTCATCTCATAAGGCCCAATTTTGTTTCAAATCTCCTGGGTTCGGCTATCTGACTTGTAAGAACCAGTTTACATTGAGCAGTGGCACAGCTCACGTTGACATTCGTCATAGATAACTCCATTTTTGATCGTCCAACTCCGGTGTCAGCGAGGTTTCTGTAATCTGTGATCAGCAGTATACTTAGCTAGCGCATGATAATTGTATCAGATGTAACACACCTATGATCTTGGCTAATGGATCGCTTCTAATGCAATCCTGTTGATACCACAGTTGGGTAGCTGGAGGAATACTCAAGTGTGAGGAATATCAACAGGGACTGTTCAATTAGTAAATCACTTACAAAAAGACTCTTGTCTTATTTATTAGTTAAAACAAACAATGCATGCATTCTATTTGTCCGATCAACGATTTTCATACACCTTATGTATCTACGTTCATATGAACGTCAACATAGAGTTGAACTCATTTTCGTAAATAGCACCGAAATCTAGGATGCTCGTTTTGTCCTATTTAGGACTTTTTAGATTGGTTTAACTGCACCCCAGTGAGTGGTGTTATTCCCACTGAAAAGTGAATTCAGCAGGCATCGGTTCAAACGTCAAAGCGTTATCCACTAGGTTACTGAGAATGACAACAAACTCCTGTGGAACAGGAACAGCAAGAAAAAGCGAACAAATCACACCTTATCTACTCAAAATATTAAATAAAATTTTAACTTACACTCTCTGTATTCGGAAAATTAAAAATGCCTGGAGCGCCATGATCAACTAAATACAAGAAAACGTTGTCCTCTGAGCCACTAAGTGAAATAAATGATTAGAAAAAGCAATAAACATTGTTTAAGCAGGATTTATTGATTTAATTAATTTGAGTAGGACTACCGACTCATCAGCTATTTATTCTACATACGCGATTTTGTATACTGTCAAGTAATACAAGAATGCATTTACACATAGTACATGTTAAGATAGTGAGTGAGGTATGCCAACACAGAGCGAATAGCTTAACTAAGACCATCAGAACTAAGAATATGTTTGAGGTGGGGTAAGAAACTGATAAGGAAGAATAAAATGAACTAGGAATGGATTGGATCATTATGAACAGAACAGTTACGAGTCAACTAGACAACTTGATTCCAGTATACAACTAAGGAACCATAGGTGTTAAATAAACAATAGTATTGATTATAGTGACCATAACTGAAGTGAGTGAGTGAGTGAGTGAGTGATAATAATGGCAAGATTAACAATAAAATTGAGAATTTATGATGTATAGTAACTAGCAGTGGAATCTGGGACGCGCTTTTCACCCATTTTTGGGCTCGTCAGTTGGATGTACCTGCCTCCCAAAGAGCGATACCGTTCTCACTGCGGCTCGAACTGGAGACCGGCCACTCCAAACACCAGAGCGTTATCTGCTAGTTAGTATACATCATTATTATATCATTCAAACACAGATAATATCCAGACATCCATGCAGGAATCCGTATGCCAGTAGAGACCGATAAATCTGATCCACTACACGACGGGATAATACAAGCAACAACATTATAAACTGAGAATATTGAAAAGCTTCACAAATATATCCTTTTGAATAGAGCAAATGAAACAGTAATTAAGTAGCTTAGTAATAGTGTAAAATTACAGAAGTCTACAGCACTAGTTGATAATGATAGTAATAATAATGGTGTTAAACATAAGGCATTTGTCTATTAAGCGAAATAGTTCAGGAGAAAATGACAATGTTACAGGATAGAAATAATAAGTAAGTAACTAAGCTAAGCATAGAAAGAAACGAAATGGGAAAACAGAACACTGTCAAATAAATGTATACCAACTGCTCCCTTTTATGAATTTGGACAACGTAATTAGAAGAAGTAGTTTATCTATGTCATACATTTCAAAAGCTGTTTGTCCGTACAATGAACCTACCCTGGTAATGGTTATCTTATCGTATGACAAGAGTTATCTTCAAGTCTTATCATTCTCCATTCATTATCTTTGTTGTTATTAAGTTCATTTATGTCATACTTGTCTTCTCCCACTACCAATTTTCATATAGAATACCTTAACAATAAGTAAATGTCTGATCAGACTGTTCAAACTGTATGGCTCAAACACATCAAACTTTTCAGATACACTACGTCTTCTAATTATGTCATTTAGAGGAGGGAAATATGTTTACAGTAAGTCAAAGCTTTCATTTTGGTAGATTCAGGAGGACTACAATCTCTTTTTGAGCATTATATGCTCGGTTTACGTACCTTAATGACATATGCTTCCACGATCACCAGCATTTTCTTATTCTGTTGTCTGCTAAACACCGTAAAGGTCTTAGTAGCATCACTGTTGAGTCGGTAATACATTAGATGCTTCCTAATAAAACTCCATGGGATTTTCACCTCAGCTTGCTTCAACCAAGTAGTCATACAAGCAGACAAAGGCTTTTCTGTACTATCTTTTTATTTTCTTTTATGGATACACTAGAATTGGTATATATATTTTGATGTAGTGTGCATTGGAGTCATATCTTTTCCCGCCTTCTGTATCACCTGTCGGGTTTTGCATAGAAGTATTAGGTTAGCTGCTCAGTAATTTCTTTGATTGGACTTGTATAGCTTACGCCTGACAACTCCTAACACTTGATGTTATCATTTATTATAAAAACACAAGGACAGTAAGAAATGCGCCACATAAAATAACATAACATTATGAAGACGTAAAGAGAAGAGAAGTGGATAAAAAGAAAAACATAGTAAGAATAGAATGATTAGATGAGCAGTGCAGTAAGATATATTCAAAACAAAACATTCGTTACTTTTCAACAGCAGAAGACAGAAAGAAGTCACAGCAAGATCACTATTAGTTTCTAATCCTGGCCACATCTGTTAATGTCCCAAGCCACTTAGTTGCCTAACCTCACGGACCCCACCCGGGGAGTTGCAATGCAGCGACAAATGCTAACCTGATATAACTGTCTTCCATCTCACGGCTCCAGGTCATACGCTGACCACCCCTCCGCTTCTTTCATCTAGGCTTAAGGTCAGCAAACAATGTGGGGTGTGGAAGCCTTTGGGATGACATGAGTAACACATGTGCAAGCCACAGCGGCCGGTGTTTCCAGATGACTTCACTTATTGAGTGGTGATCTCCACTATGCCCATACACACACTATCATACCTCACAATTACTTACATGGTGTTGCCATCAGATGCGAGCAATCCTACGGAGACAGCGGTGATCGAACACATAGAGTCATCACACATCACCAGATAGAAGACGCCATGTTCCACAGGTGCAGAGCAGAACCACTGGCACCGGTCAGACTAACGCTGTGACGGCACCAAAGTTGGCCCAGAATAAAGTATGCCACTATGGCTTCCGATATGCCGTTGGAAATTTCACCACTCTTATCTCTAACAACACTCACCCAACTGTTCAGATACACGAACTTTTCGATGACTTCCAGTGGCTCACCACCAAGAGTGAGCACAGGCATAGGCTCCTGCCAATCTTGCAAGAGCACTTTGCGCTTTAATGGTGAAGAGCACATACCATACTTACTTTGATATGGCACACAGTGATTTAATATCATTTAATAAATAATATTTTGTGTATAATTTATTTCGCATAATCATATCAAAGTCATCCCAAAACCTTCCAGCCTCCTTTTCACGGTCCAGCAGCTATTTCTTTTTTGGTTTGCAGCAGTGTCACTATAGGTGGCTGTTTATGTAACAACGGTTGCAATGGTTGCTAGATTACTCATCTTACTAGGGTCCATCATCACATATTCTGCTTAATTATTTGTGTAGACCCTCCCACTAAGATTAGTAATTTAGGGAAACATCCAGCTATCTCTAAGTTTGCATTAATCTACAATCAAATAATTTTCAAGGCTGCGTTGATAACTACTAAAGTAACCACTTAAATTGCTTTATCATACAAGAAACAAAGCTGACAGACAAAATCAAAGGTGGTTAGGAGGGGCTTTCAAAGTCACTCTACATTACAAAACGATAATGTAGGAAGTGAAGAGAGCTCCAAAGTGTCATACTGAAAGATTGTCCTCTAAATCACCGTTTATTGGGTTAGCATATAATATACGCAACAGAAATTATTTGTTACTCATAGCTGTCAAGAACAGTGCCAACAAGAATCTAATTTTAACGTTATTCAGTAACGAAACGTATTGGATTGTGAATTGGAAGATGAAAATAGTGTGATCTAGTAGATGGAAAGTCAATTTCAAGTTAAAAGAATATGGAGACATAAAATTATGAATAGAGTTCAGTAGTGATTTTCTTGTTTTAGTAAGACTGGGAATACTATACACGAGAAAGCCAGAAAGATTTTGACCACTGAACTCATGCTGCTAAAAAAGGGGAAAACATTATCATTGCTTCCAGCCAAATAACATCCATCAAAATGCACCACCATGGTCAGTCTTCTAGCGTGGTGGTGACGTAAAATAATTGATTGAATTCCATCAGCACACTAGATAAGATAACATGAAGCTGGTTGCTCTCTAGTGACTAATCAAGGAAACTACATTGGTTCTAAGCACCTGTATATTTCAGCGAGGTGGCAACCTCATCCATTCGCCTATCCAAAGCCTACCTCAAAGCTTGGCGAACACTAAAAATGATTATCCTCTTCTTAAATAACAAATCTTCCCTACTGCCAGGTAAAGAAGCAAAGACCTAATACAACCTTTGAGTTTCATTTAAAATATAGTGCATCAGAATATCATTAGTGAGTTATTTAGGTTAGAATGAACCGATTTCAGGGTTTTAAAATGATAAACTTTTACAATGAAATACCTTTTCAAAACTTTGTAACCAGCTGACGCCAACTCGTTGTTGCCCAGTAGTACTTGAATAAATCGTTCCACAGTAATACTCTATTTCATGATAATAAACAGTAAGAAACAAAAGCTATTGTGATTTCAACTTTACTCATCAAACAGTCGTAGATTTTGCATAAGATAAGCCTGGTAAAATAAATTTGTATTTAAGAGTTCTTACTACTTATATAACCATTGTAAACAGAGAAATGATGAAACAGTAGGACTGTCAATCAGCTGCTTGAAAGAGCTTTTGTTGAGGTGCTCATTTAATGTCCAGTTTAATTTCAATCATAAAATCTATCAACAGAAAGATGGAATTGCGATAGGGTCACTATTGGGACCACTGTCAGCAGACTAGAGAATACTGAACTTTTATAGATGATATATAGACGACATGTTCGCTATCTGTAACAAAGATGTTGATTTAAACAGTAGTCTTGGTTTGTTCAGTGACCGTCATCCAGCTTTCAAGTCGACCATAGAGATTAAATGAGAATCAACTATTCCTTTTCTTAATGTGCTTCTCATCAGACGTAAGAATAGATTCCTTAAAAGATTCATCTAAAGAAAAACATCGCGGAACGGACGATTACTTAATTTTTATAGTTGAGTGCCTGTCAATAGGAAGAGAAATCTTATTCACTCTCTCTGCTATCGAATAAGAAATATCTCTAGTGAAGTTTGTATTGATGAAGAGCTATCGTATTAAAAAGGTATACCTATCTAAAAACGGTTACCCATGCCGTTTTATTGATAAAAATATGCTAGAAAGGAATACCAAATCGGTCATCCACTCGGTCTCAAAACAAATTGTTTATCAGCTTAGAATTTAAAGGCAACCTGATATCAAATGTACCTAGGAATCGTCTATGCAAATCAGTCAGTAGAACTTCCTTTGCAGCAAGACTTCAGTTAACTTTTACCAGCCGTAAACTATTCTCCGTTTGTATTAAAGATAAGCTTCCTTGTCTGGTCGCTTCCATGTGCATCTGCCAGTTCACCTGCTCTTTTGGAGCAAGGTTATCGGTCTTAGCTAGAGAATGCTTTCTACACGTATACGAGAACATGTTACAGCTTGGTCTTATAAACGTAAAGGAAAGTCTGTTAAAATTTCTATTCTAGGACATTTGATTGATTTCCATCACTCAAGAAACCCACATAATGACTTTAAAATTGTTTATCAAATTCTCCCAAACCTCTCACGTTTTCTTCGTTTTCAACTCCTTAAAACAACGGCGGCTTTAACTATTCATGAACTAAAACCTGATATGTGTATACAAAAGAAGTATGTACAGTCACTAGTTTTACTATGGCTATGACATTTTCCCACCTGCTCTGCTAACTTCACCTTTATATCCTCCCTTTACACTATTATTGTTATTATAATTGCCTTCATTTTGATTAGTTTCCGATATTATTTCACTTAATTATCTTAATCTTTTTAGAAAGCAATGATTTCATGTTGATTAACTTGTCTAATCTTATGACATAATACCTGGTCGGTTTACCACTTTCATCAATTTTTTCACCCCTTTCTGAGGTACATATCTTCTATGAACTATTCTATATAGTCCGTAATCTACTTTGTTATCATTCATACTTCAACTATTATCATAATCACAAATACCTATGTCATCATTCGTTTTACTACTACTACTATTATTATTATTATTATTATTATTATTATTATTATTATATAGTGTTTAGTTTTCCTCATGTGATATAATTTTTCAAATATCATATATGTACTAATGTACAAATTGAAAATTCTTCGCTGAATATCCTGTTCTTGGTGTAACAGTGGGAATTATTATATTTTTTTAATCCGAGACAGTACACCTTAAATGCCAGACCCTACAGCTTCTTAAACAACAGGCTAACCTTTCATGGAATCTAGTTTCAAAGTTACATGCTTAATATCAATAGTCACTAAAGATTGAATGCAATGCACCATGATGTCTAGTCTGTTGGCTAATTGAAAACATTACAAACTTGCCTTTTGGAAGTTTGCGAGATTCATTGATTTTACGATGATATTCATCAGGGACTGAAATCAGTTGGAGAATCATTGGAAGTCTGGGAGCATTGAATAATTGCTTCTTTCTAATTCGGCAGTGTATGCCCGAGTCCATGCCAGCAATCGAACTCAGGACTCTTGGGTCTCATGGTAAACACGTTATCATTAAGCTAATAAGTCGAAATCAAATTGTCTATGCCGTTTTCTACCCCAAAGAGAGGTTTCATTGGTCGACTAGTTTTTTAGACGCCGATACGACTAATTGATACCTACCTACAAATATCAAACCTGTGTCCAGGACTTCACATCGATTTATCATTAGCATTCGATATTAGGATTTTAGTGTTAACGACAAGTATAGCAATTCTTAAAAATCCCAGATTCATTTCTGAAAAAGTTATTTTCTACACAAAATCACTTACCTCACCGGAGTAGTCGATTTTCACTCCTTCATAGTAATCAGTATGGGTGTAATCGTTGAATAACTTGCCAGGATAAGGATTCCTTGTAGTTGTACAGAAGTGAAAACATCGGAAAAGTTAACAGTGATTACTTTAGCTGAACTTTGGCATTATATATAAAATTGTAAACTGTTGACTACTTTTTTTGAAACTTCGTTATAGTGTGCAGAAAGATTGAAAAAATCGGCATAAGAAATAGCATATGCCTAAAGCCTTTTTCAACCAATCGCATTACTTTGAAATTACGAGAATAAACACGTGAATCAGCATGCAAAGTATCATGTTGGTTGAAGTGATGAAAAATCTGTATAATTAAAACCTAGTAGGCTTGGAAATAACCTACGCCATTGTAATATATATATAAATCTTGTAATTTTTGTATATGTTGAGGACGTTGATGTTGACGCTGTAAATACACTATTCTGTTCTATTACCGCCTTTTTCTTTTTACGGAGAAACTGAGTGACCAACAAAAGGTGGAATCTGAAGGTATTTGTACAAGCATCATCGTCAACATCAACATAGGACCAGTCATTACTGTGTAACTGTCCGAGTTGCCACACCTCATATCACTACATCAAGTAAAAAGGCAGGGAAGTGGAAGATGAAGAAAAGAAAATTCAGTCAAAAAAAATATAAAGTACTAAAAGAGAGAAAGAAAGAATGAGAGAATGGTGAGATTCAGTATAGCGTCATTAAGATGAGGATAATTTGTGCCACTGACATCGGTTCTGAGGCATATAACAGAGTCAATCTCCAACCACCGGTTCCTCTCGTCCCGCCGGCCCCAACCACCTAGTCTTCATCGCCTCAGATGGCTCAAACTAACAGTTAAAGACTTCAGACATTGATACCATGTTTTAGTCTGGCCACCTCGTGCCTTTTTCCAGCCTGAACCTATTTAGGCCAACGTTATTTGTACAAGCGTCCTCATATATAGTAGTCCACATTTACATATAACTCAAATTGCATCAAATCACTGGTAAAGATGCATAAAAGAACCTATATATTACAAACAGAGGCATAATTTATCTGAAATGTTATTGAATTGAACTGTGCACTTCACAAACACATTACAACACTAAATAAATTATCAAGATATTTATCGTCATGCTGAAACAGTGAAATAAAGTGCTATGGGAAAGACCAAGATGAATACTTTCTCATCAACCATGGTGCTGAAAGTGAAGTTGATGCATTGGTAATTAATTTTCAAATGATTTATATAGTCCACTTTGACAGTTTTCCCAGTTGAATAGTTTTACATCTGAGTAACTATTGTGTTCATGGAGTTCCCACTGGAAGCTATTCGTCATCCAAGATCACAAAGTGTGCATGATCTCTGAAAGAAAAGTGTTATGAATTAACGAAATATGCACTTCACAGAAACACTGTTGACGCTAAAGTCTTGTTAGGGTGGTGATTAACAGTGCAATAAATAACTGCCGATACCTATGGCACAGGAGATGGCTTCTATGACGTACTAGTATAGTCGATAACGGTCTAGAGATTTGAACTTATGGTCTCTGGGTTACATATTAAAATGGAAATACGATTACCCAGTGGATATAGGTGAATTCGGTACTATGAAACATGCGTTGTGAAATTCTGCTGCAAGCCACCATTATTCAAATTAGCCGAAGGCATTTTTTCACATAACTGAAGTAATGCAAAGACATATCTACATCATTTATTACTAACTAAAATTATGGAGAAATTATGGAAGCTTCCCTTGAGAAGATAAAGTCATCTCATTACACATTTATATCCCCTGAAAGACTAGCTGAAGGAGACGTGTGTTAGGTGGTTATTCACTAATATTTTACAGTTTCTCAGTTGATTTTTTCTTACTTTATTGCCGGATGGCAGTTAGGCCTTGACAGAGCACTTTGAACTTCCACGACTCAGTACAATTCAAACATCTAAAATGTTTCTTACTCAGAAGTTACTGAGTATGCTTGTCCACAAATTCTGATCAAAATTGGGTCATCATTTCTGAATTTTCTTAGTTGAAAAGAAAGATAACACTTTTAGGATCGATAAACTATCGAAATTCGGAGTGAAACACCGTGACTGAAATGAAGTTGAAACTACGTCAACTCCTGGTTATTAAAGTTCATTTCGCTGATCATCAAGTTGACAGTCTAGAGATCGCTGGTTAGAATCTTGGGCTGGCCCAGATTTCAGCTCCAATCGTCACCCGACAACATCAAGTAATGAGTGAAAAGGGACTCGTATATATCCAAAGACATAAATACACGCAAGTAGAAAAAAATGATTTTAAACAAAACCATTATCAAATTGAAAGTAGTCCAATGACTGGAAACTGTTGTGATACTCTCGATCAAACAAAAATTGTGCATCTTGATATGTAGATGACACGTTTGTCATCATTATAAGAAATGAATTGGAAAACTTTGACAAAATATCTACAATGTTTTTGACAACGTCAAGTTCATAAATTAAAGGGAATCAAATAATAATGAAAAACATTTATATGTATCTCTATCACTAGAACTGATTTGGAATGGAATGTCCAGCTATTGAAGCAACAATCCAACAACATACAAAATCAGTAGTTGCGTAGTAAATACACACTATAGTGCGTCAACCTCATAAAGGGAAGAAGAAAACTACCTGGTAAATATCTGTTAGAAGAACAGCTATCCGAACAACTTCATCAAAAGATGTTTGTCAAATTCTCCATCAACCAACAGATGATGTATCTTACCTTATATGAAGAACTTCTCTGAGAATATAACTGGATTACTCAAGCCTCTCAGTGTCACTGCACTTTACAAGTCTGCAAAACCTCTTCACTCCTTCTTATACAAGCTAAAAGACAGGATCACAGAAAAGGACAATTGCAACGTTATCTATAGAATAAACTGCGGAAACTGTGAAAAACACCACACATCCGACTCAGTGCTCACCTAATCATGTCCACCTGCAGGGAAATCAACTAGCAGTGAATTTTTAGGATATAACTCAACTCATATCAAGGCATATCAACAATTTTTAATATGAAGTCGACTTGGAAAATTTGGAAGTCCTAGATAGAAACAAATTAAATAACACCAGAGAACTTTCCAAAGCTTGATAGTTGGACAAGTCAGTGATCAAAAGACGTACAGAAATGACAAGACGTGGTATCAGTCAAAATACATAGGGAGAGAATGACAAGATTTAAGTAGTAACTACTAGCCATATCCAAGGTCATCGGGACAAGCAACTAAGTTAATTGTTGTGAAAATTTCATTGTTTACTTCTTTGCGAATATGTCCTTATGTTGGATAGAATGACAATGAAAGCTTCACAGTTTAACTATCAAGTTCAACAGCATAACACTAATAAAATCGAACTGAAAACACTTCATTTAAGAATGAAGAATGACTAATTATGTAATGTAGACGCACATTTTGTGGCAAACACAGCAGTATCTCTCAGTGACTGCTATTTTTCCACGCCGAATCAGAGCACACAATGTTTACAATCTACATTTATCTATCACTGTATGATATGCATATTTTGTGCATTACTCAACTCATGATTTATGAGAGGAATAGACGAAAAGAAATGTTTTACCTAGTTTCTCATGGAAACGATAATAACCAACTGCCTAAGTCAGATGAACTTGTAGTACACCTTTCTGGCACTAAAATACGACTAGGGCCAAAATAAATAGATTAAATTGAATTAATAAATAAACTTCTAGCTTGCCTACGGATGCTTAAGATGTCGTAAGTTTTGTTTTAAGGAGCATGCATCCGAGCAGGCTTCGACTCCATTTTACGCTCTCTTTGTTCTGGTTGGCACGCACTTACTCAGAGTCCCTAGTCTAGCATACTAGCATGATAAACTGAATAAACTTCCCCCTACTCATTAACCAATACATTTATTCTAGTAAAATATATTGCATCTTCGAATATATTCCTGAAACCGGTTAGTTTGATTTGTGCTTCGTTATCAGTACTTACACGTTAGGTAAGGTACTGGTTAAGCGGGTACTAGAGCACATCAAGTTAAGTAGGGCCAGTTAAGAGTTACGTAAAAGTAACACATCAGCACCACCTACAGTTGGTGAGACAGTCTATTATTCTCTTACTGTGTCTAGTAAGTCATTTATCCTACCGTGATTCATTTATTTTCATTTTTGGCACGGTTTTGTTTTCGTTTTTGTATTATGTTTTCCGTTGGTCACTTTACAATGTAGTTTTGTCATTACCAACGTCGTGCTTCAGTATGTCCCTTATCAATGGTGATAACAACGACTCAACTGTACAAATGGCCAAAATCCTTCAGCTTTCCACCTTCTGGGCCTATAGATCATCTGCATGTTTCGCTCACACGGGAGCTCAATTTGCCTTAAGTCGTATTCAGTGACAGGAGACTAAGTCCAACTTATTTATCTTGAGTTTGCCCGTAAATATAATCAAGAACGTATCATACGTGTTGGTGGACCCGATACTGAATGTATACGACCGCCTCAAAGCCGCCCTCATCAAACGCATTGTACTTACTAATTAGCAGAAAGTGCAAGAACTTTTCAGGGATGTGCATCTTGGCGATTGTAACCCCACCCAACTGCTCCATCAGATGAAGCAGATGGTTACAGACTCCAAAACTGATTATGCATTTTTCAAGCAACTGTGGTCGCAGAGATTACCACAGACGGTGCAAGGAATCCTAGCACCCTTTCACAAGTCCACTTTGATGGGGTTGGCGGAAGCAGCTGACAGCTGTAGACACTATCAAGCCCGACAAGAATATTTCAGCTACAATGTCTACTGCTACTGACTCATACAAAGACCCATGCCATCCTTGAGCAAGTGAGCCATCGAGTTAAGACGCTGTGGTTCACGTCACTAAATTTCATGAGGAGTTGTACAGAATCGTGAGAGAAATGTTACCTAGTAATTCTTTCTACAGTCGGGTGTAGCGCTCGCGCAGCGAAACTGCCTCCCGTACTGGCAACAGGAATTCCACATCACGACAACTCCAGTCCGCGCTGCTCTGACACCATAAATGTTATGGTACCAATGCCAAAAGGTGCACTCGACCTTGCAGCTTCGACGCTAAACAGGGTGAAAGGCGTGAGCCAGCATCTGACGACGACTAATGTCACTGACGAACCACTTCCTTGACACTTCTACTTCAGAGATTGACATTCTGGGGTACGCTTCCTGGTTGACAGTGGGGCAGAAACTGACTTCGTACCACCTTTGAGTGAAGAGCGTTTGCGGCCAACGTCTCTACAATTTCATGCCACCAACTGTTTGCCCATCACAACCTACGGTCGAGGATTCCTCAGCCTCAACCCTGAACTGCGTCGTTCTGTCCGTTTGGTTTTCACTGTGGCTAATGTGACCAACAACATTATTGGTATGGATCTCTTATAACACTACCAGCTACTGGTAAATGCTGGTAAGCATAGGTTGGTTGGTTGTACCACAAGACTTTGTGTCTCCAGTATTGTCACACAGACACTGTTTCTTGTCCGGTGTACTCCATGATGAACACTTCTAGTCCCCATGCGTCTATTATTCAATCCTTTTCGGGTGTTTCAAGCCAAATCGAAGTCTACCTAGTGTGACTTCGAACGTTTCGCACCACATAACGACGACTGGCCTGCCAGTTTTTGCCAGACCTGTAGTGCACCATCCTGGCACTAAAAACTACTTAAACTGAGCAATTTCGATCAATTTCAATGTCTTTTTGGGGAATCCGGTGACAATATAAATCATCTTGTTTATTCACTGAGACACAAATGAAATGTTGAGGAACTGTGGTCAAAATCCTTTCATTAGGAGTCATATCACAGCTATTACTGTGCAGCAGTTCATTTCTAATTTACCGTAATATAAAAATAGCTCAACTCACCTAGGATTGTAAGCAATGTCATCATATATGAAGGTGATAATCTGACTTTCTGGAATTCCCTTGTCTCGAAGCAAATGATAAGCATGACAAACATCAGACTTAAGGAGAAGAAGTAGATAAAAAGGAAACAAAAAGAAAGAAAGTGAGTTTTTCATTCGATGTGGGCCACAACTTTTGGTCAATAATACACTCTCTCCTTGTATATCCTTACTTCGAATTTCAAATGTTCTTCTAGAAATAATTGTTGGATGGTTTTCTAAAAATTGTCACATATGACAGTAAGCTTTAAAAGTGTTTTGACATATTTCAGTACATTTCAACAACGTCCACAATTTCATCAGGCCTTTACCTTATACTATTATTAAAGTAATATTAGTCCACTAATTACTGAATTACATTTGTAGCTAATAATCTAGAATTTTATGCTATGACTGAATAGTAAATCATGTATTTGGCCACAAAGTGTGTTCTAAACCAAATGATTTCCAAAATTAGGTAGTTCGTGAAGGTTCACTAGAAACCACTTCCAGGATATATTACGTCAACTGGATAACAACTGTCTATACGATATATTTCATGTTCATGAACATTATGTTGAACAAATGAAATTGAACCAGTAGGTTTCTGTTATGCATTCTCAAACACCACTGCTTGTCAAAGACTTCACACGTTGTGAATGACCATTCATGCAAAGCACTACATAGACTGATACTGAATTCAAAGCACCTTAATGAATTTGGTGACTGAAGTATAAAGAGAAGTCCTGTCTACCAGTAACTACTTGAATATCACAAATCATCCTCTTCGCTGATGAGGATCTTAGCCTAACATTGTTGAGTACACACAGGAACCACATTTAGGCTTGACAGACAATTCATTAGAAGAAATTTAAACAATAACTATGCACAAAATTACTTATGAGCTACAATGACTTAAGAGATAACAAACTTGAACACAAATAGAAAGTATTCTACAAATTAGAAAAGTAAATAGAAGTCAGAAGACCTTACTTGATGTCTATAATTAGACCAACCGTTCGATCCAGATACCAAAACGGCCCAGATTTTACCATTATCTACCTCCCAGAATTCACCTTCAAAGTTCTCAGTAGTAGTAGTGGAAGTTGTTGTTGTAGCAATATTAGTGACTGTTTGGTAGAAAATACGAATGAATATAAGTATCCTGAGCAAAGAAGGCATTTTATTTCACATGACGAAACTGATTTACACAAAGTATATATCTACAGATAGTGTTAGTGTACTTTGGCATTTTGAAAAGAATATCTTCCTTTGTTTGATAACACGTATGTTTTAATTGTTTTGTGATTTTAGGCCTCTTCAATCCGTCATTATAGATAAAACGAGTGTAGAAATGAACTTCGGTATCTTTAACGGATTGGAATAATAAACAAATTTTATATAAAAAGCCGCTTAAACGAAATATATATTGTTCAGTAAATTCTCACCAGTCTCAGTAATGATAACATGCATTTGTTAAGTTTAGAAACAAGTCAAGTTTAAGGTGAATACACTATCAAAATAGAATGTAAAGGCATCGACTTTTCTTTGCAAATTTCTCAATGTTAAAATATGTGTAAATGATCCGTGTGGTGGTAGAAAAAAGACCATAAATATGAAAGAGGAGAGTAGCTTTTAGCTTACTGAATGTTAAAGGAGAAACGGTGTGTGAGCATGTTCTTTCTGAATGTAAATTTCAGGTTTGATAAGTCCTATTGCAACAGCCTCAGCTATTCTGAGCAGGTGTTGGCAAGCTACATGTGATAATGTATTTTTGCCAAACGATATATAAGAGTGGATACTCGGTTAACATCTATAAGATACCCTGTGTTTCCTAGGTGTTCATAAACAGGACCAGTCGATGGGGATGACATTATTATTCCAAGCTTCTTTGGAATGCTTCTTCGCCTTGAGAATGCCAAGTTTAGTGACAAGACTTCAATACAATTTTCCGTTGGAGTGAACTTCAATCTTGGCGATCAACTCGCGAAGACAATGCTTTATCTCTTTAGAACAGTTCATAGAGTGATTGGTTGAGTCACTGGGATGAACGCTTGTTTGCGTGAGCACTTTGAATTCTTTAGTGAAGATCTGGACTAACTACCGAATCTCCAGAAGAGGCTGCCGAATAAATAACTGCCATGTTCTCCTACCATATATCTCATCTTGTGTATCTAGAGTGTGGGGACCTCTGGTATGCTTCCTTGTGATGGCTTTCTCATCGAATTTTAAAACCAACTAACGTCACGGATACCAAGTCTGAACCCGCAGTGAAGCAACCGGAAACACCGAAAACCACTGTCAAAACGGAAACCACGGTATCGAAATCATCCAATAATAGCGCCGGTAACCGAACCACAAGATCCGGGAGAAGAGTCCGTTGGCCACGACGTTACTTTTAATAAAACTAATTCCCTGTTAACATTATTACCGTTTTTTGTTCATTACCTTGTTGAAAACATGGCCACACGATTTTGTCAGACTTTTCCGCTTGCACAAAAATTTTTTTCCTGGCAACACGGACTTCCGAATCTTTCATTTCTCAACAATGTTCCGGGTAATACGATTTTAGTTGTCAATTTTTCTGTCTCCGGATATATTGCTACTTTGGCAAAGTTATTTTAGTGTATCGACCATCATAAACTTCATCTTTATACAAACACTCTTCCAATCAGTTCCCATCCTACTAATAGATATTCGTAACATTCCTTCTATGTTTTGAATATCTTCAAAATGAATTTACCTTTCTCATAACATTTTATATTGAACACAGATGTTCCCTCTTATATCCGTATTCTGGGGAGTTATTTCACTGTATTGTGTTGGTGTATAAGAACTCATTGAACATTTTTGTTTAGTTGTACTGATAAAAACTTTTTGCTTGCTCGCTGACAAATAAATCATCCTGATGTGTACTTCGAGTTAACTCCTGATATTTACACTGTCTTATACAGGTGGATCAGCAGTCTCGGGAATTGAAAATAGACGATAGTTTATCTGGACACGTATATAAATCCGGAGTCAGATTTCAGAACTCAACAAACTGGTGAGCAAGACGTGATTAAACTCTCGCAAGTTTTACGGGTAGATATTATTGTTTATTTCAATTGAATACTGCAACCAGTTACGAATAACTATAAATACGGATATATATATATATATATATATATATATATATATATATATATATATATATTGATATTTCCTCCGGCTGCTTTGTGGTAGGCATTGACATACTTGTTTATAGTATTTTCCTGCTCTTGTTCTTAAATATTTTTTTTGCTGTACCAGTACTGATGTCCTTAAACTCTCATCGTCAAGACTTTTCAAATTTAGGGTCCGTGGGTGCCATTAATCTTCCTGTGCCTTGTTTTCAGTTTAATGGCCCACAATTGTGGTTTGTCCACCTAGAACTTTTCCTCATGACCAGTCATATAACTTCGCAAGACACAAAGTTCGGATACACAAGCTCTGTTTTGCCGGAAGAATTGGCTGAAGAAGTAGGGGAGACACTATTAAAGCCCACCCAGACACACCTCACGATGTTTTGAAGCAAGAATTGCTGAAGGCTACCTCTTTATCTGATCAGAAGGCTGTCGATCAACTACTAAGTAGCATATGCCACGGTGATAGGACACCTTCACAACTTAAGCGACATATACAAAGTCTGCTGAAAGATAGGAACGTAAACAACCGTTTGTTCTACCAGCTCTGGCTGCGGAGACTTCCTTCATGCATTCAGCAGATACTAGCTGTCGGAGATGTGAACATTGACATTGACAGGCTGGCTGACATCGCTGACCGTATGTACGAAAGGATGCCTAAACAGGTTGAAGGTATTGCTGAGCCAACGCAAAACGACCGAGTAGCCGCTTTAGAGAGGAAGATCGACATACTTACAGGACAACTGATGGCTTTGCAGTTAAACCGATGGTCACCGAAGTTCTGTAGAAGCAGATCCCTTAGTTGTGGTATGACCACGAGTAGAATTGTGTCTAAAAATAGCACGTGCTGGTATCACAAGAAGTTTGGCAGTAAAGCACGTCGTTGTTTGTTACCATGCAATTTCAATTTTCGTCGGGAAACGGAAAGGCCGGCGATCAGTGATGACTACTGTCGCCGGCGTACAACAGCACAGTCGTTTGTTTAGGGTGATGGATAGGAAGACTGGGCACAGTTTCTGGTTGACACTAGAGTGGAAGTGAGCGTGATCCCACCCACACCTTCCGAAAAACGCCATCCCAACCCGACCTCGGTTTTATGAGCGGCAAATAGATCTGCTATCACTACAAATGGAACCAGAATTTCGATCCTAGACATTGGCTTCCACACACCATTGCAGTGGGAATTCGTCATCGCTGACATATCGTCGCCTTTAATCGGTATGGGTTCCCTTCAACGCTACGACCTATTGGTCGACTCCAGTCGCCATAGACTAGTTAACCGTAATAGTGAACTTTCTATCGCGGGTATCGTTACGCAGAAAAAAACAATAAACCTAGTCGTAGCTCCAATAAACAGCACTTCCGAGTACTATGTCCTTCTACGAGAGTTTTCCGAGCTCACTCAAATAGATTACACGAAGTCCTCTTTAAAACACTGTGACGCACCACATTCTTGCAAAAGGTCCTCCAGTCTCATCAAAACCTCGACGCTTAGACTTTAAGAAGCTTCAGACAGCAAAACAGGAATTCGATAAACTTCTAAAGTTGGAAGTCATACGCCCTTCCAAGAACCCATGGTCATCACCCCTATATATGGTACCTAAAAAACATCAGGGGAAATACGGCCTTGCGGTGATTATCGAACGTTCAATAAGCTTACGGTTCCTGATAAGTATCCAATTCCTCACATACATGATTTTATAAACTCTATGACAAAAATAAACATTCTTCCAAGATTAACCTCGTGCTAGCTTACTACCACATTCCTGTGGAACTCAGTGATGTTCCTAAGACGGCCATCACTACCCCTTTCGAACTATTCAAGTTTGTTCGTTTGTCGTTTGGTTTGACAAATGCTGCTCAAATATTCCAAAGATTTATAGATCAGGTACTTCATGGATTACCTTGCGTCAGTGCATAGATAGGTGACTTAACAGTAGCTAGCGCGTCTGAAACACAGCACCTGCAACATCTGAGGACACTTTTAGAACGACTGCGTGAATATGGCATCACAATCAATCCGCAGAAATGCAAATTTGGCAAGGAATCCCTACAGTTTTTGGGTCACATTGTTAATGCCAAAGGTGTTAAACCAGTTTCGCAAGAAGTATATGCAATTCGAGAATATCCTGTTCCAGACTTGTTTCGAAAGCTGCGAAGATTTCTGGGGTTAATAAACTTCCATCGACTTTTCATACCTAAATGTGCTGAAGTAGCCAATGTAACGGAAAAATGATCTGAAAATCCCTGTTGATCACCCTATTTCATAGTATTGACATTTATTTGAGTATTTTTACCCTCGTTATGCATGGTGTGCCTCTGACCTTGGCAGGTGTAATGTTATTTGGTTGTTTAACTGTCTTCTTTGACTCTGCACTCAGTATTTGCCTTTGTATGTTTGAGACTTATCATGAATGTTTCACTTTCCTGTTATGTGACTCCGGACTGTCGACAAGGTGACGTTGTTTTACTGCGCCCGACATTTTGCTTTGGTTCAGCTTACGGTTGTACTGTGATTTGACTGTTTGTCTTTTGACTGTCCACTGGAAAAGTTTATTTGTTGATTTTACTCTAGCAGGCAGAGTTTTGATCCATTTTGTCAGGAATTTTCTTGTTGACTCTCAGATACTTAACAATTGTATTTGTTCAACCAGTTTTTACCGTATAGTAGGTATTTGCACCCGAAAACGTTTGGACTGTAAAGTTACCCAATGGCACTGTTGAGGTATTTCTGTAATTTTGATATGACTTACTGCTGCTTTGATAGTACCACAGATTTTGTTACAAATCTACCACTGATTTACTACAAACCGTGTTTTGATATTTTGATCCAACCTTTGACTGTGCGTCACTCGCGGAAGTTCGGAAGCTATACAGTAGAACGCAGAAACTAGTCAGATTCATGTTGGTTGGCACCGCCTAGTTATTTCCTGCGTTCAGGCCAAGATTATTGAATTTTGGCTGTTACAGCCCAACCGCTGACAGATTTGATGCAAGACGAGCCAAAGTGTTTCACAT